TGAAGCCTCTCCAGCCTTTCCTCTTGTGTTGTTGTAAGAAGGTGTCAAAAGCTCAGCACAGATGATTTTCCAGGGCCTGCACTCTTTAGGCCTGATCGCTCCCTCTCCAGACAACGCGACCATTCTTCTGGCCCCACCCAGCTACCTGGGACTTCCTGAACTTCACCCAGTACATTCACTTCATGCCTTGATGCTTTCATTCCAGAGCGGTCAAGAGAGCTCGTTTCCCTGCCTTCCACATTTGTCCAGATCCTGCCCAACTGATAGGGCTCACTCCTCCAAGACTTTGTCCCCAGCTGGGGCTCACAGAGTCTCTGATGTCTGCTTTACACCTGGAAACATCTTCCTCCCTCCTCTCTGTGTGGCTGCAGAGCAGAGAGAACCCATCTCCACCAAGACAGCCACCATCTAGTAACTGCAGACCAAAGAGACCAAAAAGCACTTGCTAACTGATTTGCAGGCTAGGAAAGCATAGTGCTTAGATGCACCTGCTCCAAAGAAGACGCATTTGGCCTTGAACCTCAGGATGCATGGGAAAGAAACCTCACTATAGCAGCTTCACTAAGTAGGGCATGTTTTTACCTCAGAACCTGAAGACCAGAGTAGGCCTTCTGGGATTGCCGTGGAGGCTCCATCGAGCCCAGGCCCCTCCTAGATTCCACTCTGCCCTCCTTGGCAAGCACCATTATGTCTCTGTGCCAGTTTTCTCACCTACTAAATAGGAATAACTACCTTCTTGATAGGGCTATTGTAAATATCAAGTGAGCTGACATATGTATAAAGCATAGAAAAGGATTAGGCCCAGATTAAGTGTCTGTAAGTGTTAGCTACTACGATTCGGACTCTGAGTGTGATTATTCTGTCCTCGTGCCCCTCTGGGCATCATGTTCTCTGCCCTGGCCGCAAAGGAGGTCAGGAAAAGCACAACAGGTGAGTATTGGCTGAATCTATCTGATTTTTTTTTTCAATTGAGGTGAAATTCATATAGCAGAAGACTCTCCATTCTAAAGGGAACAAGTCAGTGGCATCTGATAAATCACCATGTGGTGCCACCACCCACCACTTAGCTAGTTCCAAACACTTTTGTCACCCCAAAAGGAACCCCCATGCCCATTAGCAGTTCTTCCCCATTCTCCCTTCCCCCCCAACCCGACATTTTGTCCCTGTGAATTTCCTGCACAATTCCACCATTTTTAAGAGTTTCCTAGAAGACCCCCAAACTCTTCTGCTCACCTCTTACTTGGCCAGTAATCTCCTGTCATTCTATATTCTAATGCCTCTTGAGGTCCAAGAACTGTGTTTTGTTGAGTCTAAGAATTCTTTTTTTAACATTTTAACTTTTCCAAAATAAGAATCTTTTTATATAGATAAGAAGATACAGATAAGATAGTGTGTTGCTTTAGTAGATGTCAGACACTGTTCCAGGTGCTGGGGCTACTTCAGTAAAGGAAACCATTCCCTGCTCCTATAGAACTGACATTGTAGTGACAGGGAGATGAACAATTAAACATCATCCATAAACAAACTATTTAATATGTTAAAGGATGATAAATACTTAGAAAAGAATAGAAAGTAGAGCAAACAAGATCCACTGGAAGGATGAAACAGGGACTGGTTGCTGAATTAGTGCAGTAGTTATCTATTGCTGTGTAACAAATCACCCCAAACATAGTAGCTTAAAGCAACACACGTGTCTTTATCTCAGTTTCTGTCGGTCAGGAAAATCCAAGCAGGGCTCAGGTAGGTCATTCTAGCTCAGTGAGGTTGCAAACAAGATGTCAGCCAGAACTGTAGATCCAAAAACTTGACCAGGGCTTGGAAGGCCCTGAGGTGGCTCACACGGATGGCTGCTGGCACAAGGCTTCAGTTTCTCATGGTTGGCAGGAAGCCTGGGTTCTTTGGCATTTGGGCCTCTCCCTGGGGCTGTGTGAATGTCCTCACAACATGCTAGCCAAGCTCCCCAGAGCAAGTGATTCAAGATAGAGGCCAAGGAGAAGCCCACAACACCTTTTATGACCTGGTCTTGGAAATGACATTTTCATTTCTGCTAGATTCTATTAGAGGTGAGTCACTATGTCCAGTCCACACTCAAGAAGAGGGGAGTTTTAGGAGGAGTATCAAAGAATTTGTGGACATTTATGGGTAACCACTACAATTAAATAGGGTAGTCAAGATAAAAGAAACAGAATATTTGAGCAGACTTGAGGAGGTGAGGGAATTAGCCCAACAGATATGGGGGTGAGGGAGGTGTGTTCTGGACAGAGGAAATAGCTGTAGCTTTTGGAGTAGGAGTTTACATGGAATATGAGTAAAGAAGAAAGACTAAACACTGGGGCCTCCCTAGAGGGAAGGCCACCATCTTTTCCTGCATTAACAGACATGTGACCTTGGACAAGTCACTTCTCCAAGTTCCAGTTTCCTCCTCTGTGAAATGGGAATGACATCAGTTACTACACACAAGTGTATTATGAGGATTAATAAGAACACATGTAAAGTATCCACCCTATGACTGGTACCTAGTGAATACTCAATGAACATGAGCTAATATTATTCATATTCTGATCAGCTGCAATAGCGTCATTCTTATCACCTGAGCATCAGGTATAGAGTGATGTAAATTCATCAGCTGGGAGTTCTTGGAGAACATGGTTTTTAAAGGATCTGGTAGAAACTTTCCCCTCTTCTGCGACCTAGAAAGAAGGTAGCAGAAGAGACAGACTTTGCTTGCCAGTCTCAAGTCTCAGAGCAATTTCTAGTTTTGATCAGCAAGGGGCTCTTAACTCCAGACTCCATGAACCCCTATGGACCTCATGGGTCCCCCAGACACCAGCTGACCACCCAATTTATATGCAGTCGTTTGTGACCTAGATGTTTATAGCTTTCCATAAGATCTCAAAGAATGACTTAATCCTGCAAGCTTAAAAATCACTAGCAGACCAATGCCTGACACATAGTAGGTGCTCAATAAAGGTATGTCGACTACTCTAAAGAACTTTTTAAATATTCACACACTTTTTTTTTTTTTTTGAGGAAAACTGTTTAATGGCACAATGGCTCCCAAACCTCAGTGTCCTTAGACCAGCTCTATTTGAATGACAGGGCTGCTTTTTGAAAATACAAATTCTGATGATTCAAAAATACCCTCAGAGGAGCTGAGTCAGACAGTTTGCTTGGGGCCAGAGATCTAGGATTTTTCAAAGGCCTTTTCCTCCCATCTCCTGTCCTCCCCTCCCCCACACCGCATCCCTCCAGGCTAGTGGAGGTGCAGCCAGGTTTTGGGTTTCCCTGTGAAGCCCTAATTGGAGAGAGGGAGACTCAGGAGAATGTGGTGTGCAGCTTTTTCACACCCATGTGATCACACCCATGGTCACTTGTGACCTTTCCACAAGCTCTCAGGGTGACTGGGCAGGGATTACAATCTCTCTTTTATTGAACAGAAAGCTGAAACCCTGGGAATCAAGTGACACCCCCCTCCCACAGCCCAACTGTCACATTGCCTGAGGGTGGGGAGATACGATTAGAACTGGGCCTTTGGACTCTCACTCTAGGGCTCTCCCCTCTGCACCAACTGGATAAACCAAGTTCCAGGAAGTCCCAAGGCCACTACTGGGGGGGGGGGGCTGGGGGGGGGGTCAGGCAGAGGAGGGAGGGGCGGAACAGCAACCATGTGGAGAGCAAGGTTCAGGAAACTGTCTGCCAGCCACAAACCCCAGCTGTTCTGAGCACCCAGGCATTCACATGCTGACTCCGACTGTGCAGGACCCTGCCAGCTGCTTTCCCCTGGTGCATCTCAGTCTCCCAATCTGCAAAATGGACTGATACTCCATTCCCTGCCCTCAATAAAATGCTTTGTAGAATGTAAGGCACTCTAAACATCCAGTTGTTATTACTATTGCTGTCAAGGGAAGGTTCAATATCAGCCCAGTGGGAGGTCTCTAGGGACCAAGCTAAATCCAGTTGTCTTTCATTTGAGGTACATTTTTGAGCACCTACTATGTGCCAGGCACTGGGCTAGACACTTGTACATGCATGGCCTCATTTAACCCTCAGATTACCCCAATGGTGACATTTTATAGATGGAGAAACTGAAACTCAGGGGGAATGAGTTGTAGTTCATTCATCCAACTTTTACCAAAAGCCTTCTTTAGGTCAAGTGCTGAGGACACAAATATGAACAAGTCCTTCAGGAGACATGCCCATAAATTACTTTAATAACAACTCAGTATGCGCTTCCACAGACAAGCGAGTGGGAGCAAGAGGAGGCGCACTGGCTCCCAAGGGGTTATGGAGTGGAGAGGCTGACCTCCCCCAGGACCTGCGCCACTGGTCCTGTCAAGGCTTTGCTGTATATTCCCAGGAAACCTCTTCAGCCACTGAGCCTCTCTCTCCATCTGGAAAATAAATAGGTTGAGTTTATGATCCTGCAGTTCTCGGGGTGTAAGTCTCGGGCCCCTCACTCCACCTTCTGGTCAGTTGAAGCTCAGCCCCGGTCATCCCGAAGGTTGAGCCCGGGAGAGTCAGATCAAGCCCCATGGAACGTGCCAAATCTCCGCCTAAGCACAGCGCTGCTCGGCCAGACTTGGGGTCCAAAAGGCGGCGCTCGGGCGGGGGCAGGGTAGAGATTTCTAGAGGCGCGGTGCAGCCCGCCCCGGAGCGCCCTAGCCGGCCAATGAGCGCCCGAAGGCGGGGAGGCCCTGCCCCCGGGTTTAAGACGCCTGGGAGGCCCGGGGCGCGGCGCCTTGAAGTCCTCCGGTGCCGTCTGGGGGTGCGCCGAGTCCCCGCCGCCGGGAGCTGCAGCCACGCGGCGCGCTGGCGCTCTCGGCTCGGCGTGTCCCGGGCTGGGCAGGCGCTAGGGTCGGATTCGGTTTCCCTTCGCCCGGCAGAGCTGCGGGAAGCGCACGCGGCCGGGATCCCTGGCCGCCGAGGCCCGGCCGACCCGGACCGGGGACGCGGGGGCTGACCGTGCGCGCCCAGCCGCCGCAGGCTGCCGCCCCGCGGCCATGGCCGACCACCTGATGCTCGCCGAGGGCTACCGCCTGGTGCAGAGGCCGCCGCCCGCCGCGCCCGCGCACGGCCCTCACATGCTCCGGACGCTGCAGCCCTACGCGGGCCCGGACCTGGACAGCGGGTTGCGCCCGCGGGGGCCTCCCCTGGGCCCGCCGCCGCCCCCGCCCGGGGCCCTGGCGTATGGGGCCTTCGGGCCGCCGCCCGCCTTCCAGCCCTTCCCCGCCGTGCCACCGCCGGCCGCCGGGAGCGCGCACCTGCAGCCCCTGGCTGCGCTGTACCCGGGTCGCGCGGCGCCCCCCAGCGCGCCAGGAGGTCCCCTGGGCCTGCCGCCGGCGCCTGGCACGCCTGCCCCGCTGCCGCCGGCGCCCGCGCACGCCCTGGGCTGCATGGACGCGGAGCTCATCGACGAGGAGGCGCTGACGTCGCTGGAGCTCGAGCTGGGGCTGCACCGCGTGCGCGAGCTGCCCGAGCTCTTCCTGGGCCAGAGCGAGTTCGACTGTTTCTCGGACTTGGGGTCGGCGCCGCCCGCCGGCTCCGTGAGCTGCTGACCGCTGCCCGGCGCCCGCCCCGCGCGCGCGAGGAGAAGGGCTGACGGCCCCCGGGACTCCGCATCCAGCGCCCGCCCGGCACGCGCCCTCCGTGAGGGTGGAGGCGGTTCGTGCACGGAGCCCACGCCGGGCTGGGACCCCTGGCCCGGCTGCAGGCCCTGCCTCCTGCAGGATGACACTTTGGCGTCACCATTCGGTCAGTCGGGGAGCCCCAGCGGCAAAGTGAAGAGCACTGGAACCTCTTGGGATTCCTCGTTCTTGGATTCTGTGTCCTCTCCTCTCGAACGCTCCCCCGCTCCATTCCCCCCAATCTGAGCCATTCCAGGCCGCTGCCTGGTTCCCTCTCTCTTCTTGTGCAACCAGCTGCGGTCACTGGGTCCTTGGAGCTGTCCGCCCGCCAAGGCCGGGTGAGCCCAGAGCCGCTGGGCCTCGCCTGGGAGAGCACAGTCTGCACAGCCTCAGCTCTGCAGAGTGGAGCAATGTCCCAGCTGGCCTCCAAAACCAAAATAAAACTGGGTCACTTTACAGTCTCGTGTTTTCATTTTCATTTCCTTATCACTCCAACCTTCAACTTTATTTGGCTTCTAGAGTCCGGAGGCTGTTGGGGACCTGGATAGGGTGGAGACCGCAGCCCCTGGCTGTGGCCAGGAAAGGAAACTGACAGTTTCTTTTGAAAATATGAGTTGTGCAATTGTTATGTCACGACAGGGAAAGCAGAGGCTGCCGCCACCCAGCGGCAGGGTAACCCAAGGGCACAAGCCTGGGAAGTCACAGCTGCTGGGAGGTGGGAGAGTTTGGTGGTGCTGCCCCCATCTGTTTGCTCAGGTAGCACAGAGGTCAGAGGGAGCTGGGTGGTACCTAGATTCAGATAGCCCTGGCTTTGAGCCCTGTGGTCTCACCCTTGTCCACATCACCACCCATTCAGATTCTTGGGGCTGTTTCTTCAGGGAGAACTGGTCCCAGCAGGAGGTGGCTGTGAAGATCAGCTGCCTGCGAGTCTAGCACAGTGCCAGACACCTGGGCAGTGTGCAATCAATGATGGGGTGGTTCTTCTGCAAACTGTGCTAGCAGTGTTCCGGGCCCTGTGCCAACCTGGTACATGCCATCATGGGGCCACAGTCCAGGTGAAAGTGGGGAGGAAGCAGACCTGGAAATCAACTTATCTTGGTATAAGGAAGAGCGTGGAAAGGACTCAGAAACAAGAAGCAACCCAAGAGCAAAGCCAGAGGAGGAGGCATTTCAGCTGGTAGGGATGGGGTCAGTTCAGGCTTCGGGGGGGGGGGTGTTTTGTGTGTTGATAGAACCTTGAATGACGAGTACATCTTTAGCAGTTGGAGAAGGTGGCATGCAAGAGAAGAGTCCATCCAAAGTGACATAAAGACATGCCACTATAGGGGATGTCCAGGGAAGGCGAGGAGTTTCTAGAAGGAACAACAAAGTTCTAACAGCTGTACCTTGACTGTGGGGTGGGCACAGCCCCCACTCTGCAGGGAAGTGATGTGGAGCTGCCCAGACCTCGTGGGATTTGCCTCAGGCTGACCACCAACCAGCATAATCACCTGATCACCCCCTGCTATTTATTGACCCTCTCTGGAAAGCTCCTTGGGTGCTTTGGAGAAAGTCTGAAAGGGAGGAGGCTGCATCAAAGATGCTGAGGCTTAGCCTAGGCAGGGCAGCGGGGTGAAGAGAGAATGAATTCCAGAGTCTGTGGAGAGGGTCAAACCTGCAGCCCATAGACCCGCTGCTCCCAGCCACGTGACCACACTCTCGGCAGCCCCTGGGCCTGAGCTCTGTCTCCAGAGATTGTACTTCACTCCCATGCAAAGCTGTTGGTTGTGTGACTCTTTCGCATGTGAGTTCTCGCACAGGCATGGAGCGGGAGCTGAGATGCCGGGCTAATGAATGGAGGTCCCTCTTAAGGTCACAGGGCCATCTGGGACAGGATGGCTGAGGAAGGGCAGAGGCTTCTGGGCTCGGAAAGGCCAGTGTCTGCCCTGGTTTTACCCAGGACCCCAGAGATAGAAACCAAGGGGCTAGGTGGGCTGTAGGTTGGGCACTGCCCTCATGTCCTTTCTGGGACTCAGTTTCTCCACCAATAAAATGGGGCTAATATTCCTGCCCTGCTATTTTGCAAAGCCTTAGGTCTTACAATAAGTGAAGTGCTTACTCAGGGATGGGTTGATAAGCAGCTGGTAAGCTTTATTTTTTTTTTAGAGGCATGTTTTATTTATTTGTTTGTTTGTTTTGTTTATACATGCACTGGGTACAGTCAGAAGCGCGGGAGGGTGAGAGAATTCACCAGAGCCAGAGCGGGGAGCAGAGCAGGCAGAAGGACCGAAGTACACTGCTGAGGGGAGCAGCGGGCGGCAGGAGAGGTCTGCGCGCCATGTGGGACCCTCCTCCGGTGGCCGGGGAGCAGCCGGGGATCGAACCGGCACCGCAGAGGCTGCAGGCAGCTTCGCAACCCAGCGCTCAACCGCTGTGCCACCGGGGAGGTCCGCAGCTGGTAAGATTTAAAGTGCTCTCCGTATAGAAGGGCTTACACTTATGACAAATACCCAACACCCACCTTTCTAGAGTTAAGACAGGTAGAGAGGGGGTCCAGCTGTGGAACTATTCCCCCCCCTCCCAGAGGGGCTGCTGACAAGCTGGGCAGCAGGCAAGTAGACAGAGGTGAAGGTAAGGCCGTGCACACCATCTAGGTCCCCAAGTCCCTGATACTCCTGGGAGGACTCTGGCCCTCCCAGCTGAAGAGGAAGCTCACCATCTGACAGCATCAGGGGCCAGTTCCAGAAGCTGCTGTTACCAGCTGCCTGACCTGGAACAAGTCACCTTACCTTCTGGATCCCTGTCCCCCAGGGTGATCACACAGCTCCCCGTGCACCCCATGGGGTCCCGCTCTCCTCCTCCCTGGGGCTACCTCCTCAAGCAACCAGTTGCTCCTCAATCCTATGGATTTCCCTCTTATTCCTGGCCCAGGCTGGGAGGCAGACTCCCTCAGGGTGGGGAACTGAACTGTGACACAGACAAGACATTGTTCCTTTTTTCCCCTCTTTTCATGTGGAAGTTTCCTCAGCTGACATCCTTTATTTTGAATCATCTTTTGGGTGACTGGACTTCATCACCAAGTAGCTTTTTTCCCAAGAAAAATGTGACTTCTCTCGAACTCATCTGTAAAATGGAGGTGCACATCGTAGTATCTCCCTTCATAGAGTTGCTATGAATAAGTTCATTCACATAAGGGGGTTAGAATAGTGTAACTTACCATCCCTGAGCCCTGGTGTGTCGGGGATACCGTTATAATAATTAGCCTCTAGAAAGACTGTGTTAACCAGCTAGGAAGGGGTGACTCCAACTAATCCTGTTGCAAGTGGGGTGTCCCTGGAAGCAGACGCTGAGACAGTATTCAGCTTGCAAGAGGTTTGTCGGGGAGCCCCCGAAGGACCAGTGCTGTGGAAGGGAGGGGCTGGAGCAGATGTGATCAGAGGAAGCTGCAAGGCAGAGCCAGCGAGGGCCTTGGCCAGCCCCAGGGGAGCTCTGAAGCTAGAAGGGCCCTTCAGAGTCCTCCTGAGTTGGGCCATTTTCCTCCTGGCCTGTCAGTCATGGGACGCTGGGCCGCCAGGAAAGTGGCATGACTGTGGGTTAGGCAGCTCCTTGTGCCGAGCAATCCTTGGAATTGCTGCCAGGAAGGCTGTCTGCCAGCAGCACTCCCAGCAGCCAGGGCAGCAATTTCATGGAAGGGGCTCTGGGTGGCACATGACAGGGTCCACTGCAAGTACTAAGGTGGGGACTTGGGCATAACAGCGAGCGCCTCCTTAAATCTCTGGCTGGGAGCTTTGTTTGCTTCTCCCTGACCCCAGAGCAGACTAGCTCCATCCTTATTAGAGAGAGAAAAAAATTCTTTTTAAGAAATATCAACCTCGTAGGGTTGATGAGATAAGACGATATGAAGTGTCTGGTGTGTGGTAGCTTCCTCATAACTGAGAGCCGCCAGCATCATGCCAGCTGAGTTAAGTTTTCAATAGTCATTTGTTGAATAAAATAAATGTACGGTTGGATCCTAGTCTTTTCCCAGGCAGCTTAGATAGTTCAGCTGATTACTAAGTAATCCTTTTGCATTCTTTAATCCACCCTCGCCTAACTCCCTCTGTCACCACCCGCTGGCTGGTGGAAGTGCTGGGTCAGGATCACTGTCAGACCTTGGTAAGTGCCTACTATGTATAGGCAGGATAGGCGCTAACAGAATGCAGCGGGTGCTCTCTCTCACCTAGCCTCTCCTTTAATTGCCAACCAACCTGGTAAATAGCACCCCTGGGTGGTTTGATCCCCATTCCAGAGGTCAGGAAACTGAGGCTCAGACAGTGAATTGCTCCTCTAAGTCACAGCCACTAAGTGGCAGGTGGGTCTATCCCTATCCTGGGCTCCCCATCCCTGGAGTGGGGTGGGAGTGGCTGGCCAAGGACCCGAGCCTGAGGATGAACTGCCGAGCCCCTGGGCTGCTTCTGCCACTTTATGGCTGCAGGGTGCAGAGGAGGGCCTTGGGCTTCTGCAGGCTCCACGTCTCCTGTACATCGGGACGGGCAACCCCAGCCTGAGAGCTGAGTGCAAGGACTCAGGTGGGCTTCTGGGAGCATCTTGTCAACACCACAGTGTGGCGTGGCTGGGGTGAGTCGGGAGTGAACAGCCATGACCTCCCCACACGGCTGCGCTGGAGAGGGGAGACCTGCACACACTCGGGTGCTTGAGATCTGGCCAGCCTGGGGCATGCAATGCAAACACGCAAACACTCAGGAGCCGGCAGCTCGGGGCTGGGAAGCCAGGAGAGCTGGTGGTGATGAAAGGGGTGAGTGTGGCTCAACCAGGGGAAGGCACCCAGGTGAAGGCCTGGGGCCAAAGTGCACCCTGGCAGACAGAGGAAATAAAAAGCCTTGGGGCCTTCTCCTACAGGGCCCAGACAAGGGCTGGAGAGGAGTCTTTCCCCCTCGACTGGTTCTGAGGACAGACCTGCTTCCTCATGGGCCCCACCTCTACCCCCTGTATGACTCCAAGTGGGGATCAGGAAGGGCTTCAGGGAGTGGCTGCTCCCTAGTCCTGAGACGGGAGCTGAATTGAAAGCTGGTCCAGAGCTGGAGTCAGGTTGGAGCTGGAGCTCTGAGGCCTGGCCCCAGCTCATCCAGAACTGGTACCATCGGCTTGCTCCAAGCTCTGAGTGAGGAGAACTACATTCCTAGGCTCTGGGAGGCAGAGGCTGGAGCCAGGGTGGAGGAGGGCAGTCCAGGGTTTCCCTGAAGCTCACCCACAGCCCTGTGGGGCCCATGATGTGCTTGTCCTCCTCAGTCATCACAAACACCTGAAGGTGGGTGTAGTTCTTGGCCTTACTCTAATTCTGTGGCCTCATTCTAGGCAACTGAGGCTCAGAGAGGTTAAGCAGCCTCCTCAACAACACACAGCCAGAACAACAGATGGACAGACGTGAGGTAAGCCCAGACGGGGCCCTTGGGAAGAGCTGGTTCTTGTTTGTAGGATGGGCGTAGGGGCAGGAATGGCCACAGAGCAGGTTTTCTGATGATCCCGCAGACCGGGTAAAGGAGGAAAGAGTCCTGGAGGCCTCAGTGGGTTTGCAGGTTTTTATTGGGATTACCAGGTACATGGCAGGCAGGAGCGCTGGGGGGCCGGGAGGCTGGCAGGCCTCCCAGCCCCCAGCACGTGTTCACTCTAGGCTCTCCGGCCTTCTCTCGGCTTCTGTTTCTCTTGCTTCTCTCTCGACTTCCGTTCGTTCTTGGCTTCTTCTCGGCTTCTGCTGGCGTCCCTGTGACGCCGCCCTTGAAAGTCCAGTCTCAGCCCAGGTGAATCCCATCTACCTATGCCCACACCCTACTCCAGGTGCCCGCCATCAGGCATGCATTCAGGACCGCAGGGTTCCGTCATCTATCCTGATGGCAGGAGGGCAGAAAAGCCTGACATTTTTCCTTACCCTAGAATGGGTGGGGGTGGACATCAGTCCAGCTACCCTCTGGGGAGCAGTGGTGTGGCTGGGACAGGCAGGGAGTCTCACACAGCCCACTAGAGGGGGTCTTCAGGGCTACTGTCCTTTACTCTTCCTTGTGGGCAGCTCGGCCGCTGGCCTTGCTTTGAAATGGGCACAAACAGACAGCAGGACCCTCCCACTGGGCATCCCAGCCTACCCTAACCCTACAGAGAGTATGTCAGTCATTGCTTCTTTGCTTTTAAAACACATTGTTTTTAATCAAAAATAATAGATGCTTGAAGCAAAATAACTTCAAATAAATGAGAAAGTATAAAGTGAAAAGTCAATCACCCCCCCAGTCTTTCCATACAAATGTGTATGTTATATTACACATGTTATATACATACATACACTAGACATCTCTTTTTTACATAAGATTATGCTATTTTAAATGGCTGGATTTTTTTTTAAGTTGGTGTATTCTGGAAACCATCCCCCCTCCATGCACAGACAAGTTCTTTCTTTTTTTTCACTCTATTAACAACTTTCTTTCATTTTAAAGTTTTATTTATTTATGCATACAAGAGTTGGGGTGCTGGCCAGAGGTGCCAGGGATGAGAGGATTCACCAGAGACAGAGTGGGGAGCTGAACAGGCAGATCGACTGAAATACACTGTTGAGGGCAGCAGCAGGTGAAACAGGAGAGGTCTGCTGTGCCATGTTGGATCGCTCCCTGGTGGGGGATTGAACACCCAGCCGCAGTGGCTGGAGACCGCTCCATAGCAGCACCTAGACTTAACTTCTTGTGCCACCGGGAGGCCCTGACTCTTTTTAATGACCAACTGAGCATCATCTCCTTAATTAGTTCCTGACGGATGGACATTTCACTTGCTTCCTAGGTGTCACTGCTAGAGAATGCTCCAAGGAATGTGCTTGTGCACCTACCTGAACACTTTGGTATCATCTCTGTAGAGTGGACTCCTCGGAGGGAAATTATTGCATCAGAAGAAAGCAAATAAAATGGTGCCGGCGACTGCCAAAGAGCCCTGGAAGCGGCTGCTCTGTCCACCTTCCCGCCAGTGCTGTGGGGAGCGCGGCCCACACCCCGACCCTGGGCCCCAGGTCTTCCATTTTTTACTCCCTTAACCGGAAAGAAAAAGTGGGGAGGGATTTAATGTCTCTTTCTTTCATTATCGATAAAGATATTGTCTTATACTTCTCCTAAGAACTACTTGTTCCTCTCCTGGCTACCTTCCTGCTTTTTGTTACCCATACAGAACACCCATTCTGTGTGATGAAGACTCAACCTCTGTCCTTTGTTAATGTTGCAAATATTCTCTCCCAGTCGGTGGCAGTTCAGTTCGTTGCCTTTATTAATGCATCAATGCCTTTGAGACGCTTTCATTCTTCTGTCATCAATCTTTCCCCTTTCCCCTCAGCAGCTTGAACTCTGAATTAAGGACAGAGAGAGGCGGGTCATGCAGGCCTGGCTTTAAAATCTGACATATATGATATCTGGCTAAGTCACTTTATCACTCCTCTTTTTAGATTTCTTTCTAATATAAAATCCACCCCAACACATACACACCCCACTGGTCAGGTTAAATAAGTGAGAGGCAGACAGGCACTCAGTACCGCCAGACCCACAGCACAGTCCCTACAGGAGGCCGAGGTGTGGGGTAAGCAGGTGTTTTGTTTAGCACACAGAGAAGGAGGCCCGGACGGGAGGGAGAGTCAATTGCGCCCATGGAAGTGGACCTGGGCTGTTGGTGCCTTGCAGGACTCATCTATCCCTCTCGTGGCAAAAGACCTCCCCAAATTTCCATTGGGGAATCACCTCCCCTTCCTTTAGCTTGGGTAAATTTGCCTGTTCGGATAAGTTTAGGCAATTCGAAATAAAATGATACTAAACTGTAAAATGAGTGTAAGGAATCCCCAAAAGTTCTTTAGTTTTCCATGACTATTTTGAAACGGCAATGCTGTAACTCTTCCTAGTCCTCATCAAACACTCAAACTTTCAGCCAAAGCCCTGAACACACGAGCCAACCCGCGCCCGCTGTCAGGTCATGCAGGAGTGACTCAGCACATGTCACTCACCGCTCCCCCTGGTCTGCCTTATTACCCCAGCTTATGCAGCTGTGAGGGGCCCGAGCTTCATGGAGATGAAGTGACTTGCCTGCTTCCTCACGCAAGGGTGGATTTCGGTGCACGACCAGCCATCTCTCCACAGCGAGCGTAGCTCTGTTGAGATCAGAACTCGGGTTCTTGGCAGGGGTGAGAAGATGGCAGGGGCTTGAGAACTATGGAAAGAGAACGGGCGTGGTTCATCTCTCTTCACTGTGACTGTGCACCTTGAAGCCTCGCTTTCTCACTTTCTCACTTTCTGGAAATTTCCCATACTTAACCACAAAAGAGGCTCAGAAATTGAGTCTTTATTCTACGGGTGACCAGGTCTGAGTAGGACTTGGAGGGTCTAACTCTAAGGAAGAAGGTGGGACTGGTTATCCGGGACAACCTGTGGTCTTAATAATGGCTATTGAAGTGGTGCCTACAGGAAAGAGAGAAGCCAGAAATGATTCCCAGGAGTGTGACTTGGAGAATAGGAACCCCGCCTGCCCCCCGCCCCCCCCTCCGCCAACAGGGGGGTCCTAGAAGGAGGGACGGTTGGAGAGAATAGGATAAGGTCAGAATGGACATGCTGGGTCATCTGGGGGTTGATGTCCAGGTGAAAGCAGACCGGATAATGGGCTGTAGGGACAGGACAGGCCACGGAGCAGGTTCTCTGACCAGCAGACTGGGTAAAGGAGGAGTCAGAGTCCTCAGTGGCCTTTGCAGGTGTTTTATTTAGATTCACCAGGCATATGGCAGGCAGGGGTGCCGGGGGGCTGGGAGGCTGGCAGTCTTCCCAGCCCCCAGCAAATCCTCACTCTATCTGAGCTCTCTGGCCTTCTCTCTGCTTCTCTTCTTCTCTCGGCTTCCATTCATTCTTGGCTTCTGCTGGCGTCCCCGTGACGCCGCCCTTATAAACTCAGTCTCTCAGCCCAGGTGTACACACCCCACTGGTCAGGTGGGGTGCCCGCCATCAGGCATGCATTCGGGACCACAGGGTTCCCTCATCTAGCCTAATGGCGGGAGGGCAGAAAAGCCTGATGCTTTTTACCTTACCCTACACGGGCTCAGCACCCATGGGTCAGCAGTGAAGTCTGGGCTGAGCATAAACATATTTGGGAGCTAGTCACATATCCCCGTAGGAATGATGAAGCAGAGTAATCAAGGAGAATTGCCAAGGACAGAGCCTTGGGGGACACAGACATTTAAGAGAAGGGAGGGACTGAGAAGGAGCAGCTGGGGAAGTAGGAGGAGAACCTGCAGAGAAAACGGCAGGAAAGCCAAGGGAGGTGATCCCAGAGGAGGTGTGATCAGCAGGTGCAGGTGTCTGAGAAGTCAGGCAGAATGAGGGCTGAAAGAAGGTTGCTGGATTTGGGAACTAGGACGTGAAGATGGACTTTGCCGGGGCTGTGTCAGGGCAGAGGAGGGCGGGCGTCAGGCCGCAGTAGGGAGAGCAAGGGGAGCCAGCAAAGGTGAGCGGCATGTTTAAGTCGTCTTTTGGATCTTAGTATTTTCTCGGGTCAAGTGACTCTTGTCTGGACCCTTGCGCTGGATTTTACCCCTGGATTTGGCCCAGATAGGGCTGGCTAGATGGGCAGGCAATACCCGCTTTGGTCAGGAGGTGGCAGCACCACACCAAATGACACCACCTGGACCAGCACAAGGCACACGTCTGTGTTTCCAGGGAAGTGAAGCTACTTTCAGCTAACGCCAAAGCTTTGGGAGTCTTCTCCATCTTGGATGAGATCCTTGAAAGAAGGAAACTGAATGGAACTATGGGTTCAAATCCAGGCACTGTCACCTACTGACTGTGTGATGAAGATGATGATAAACCCACGCCTTTGTCTCTAAGCAAATGCGTTTTGCCTGATGGTCTTGAGGGCAGATCCCGGGATGTGCAGGGGGCCAGGAGGTCGGGCTGAGGAGCAGAGGAAAGGGAGCTGGCCAGAGGAGCCAGGTGGGGTGAGGGAGCGCTATGGTCCCACAGGCCTGGACGGAGTGGTGTTGGTCCAGAAAAGTGGATTCAGACTTTGCAGATGAGGGAAGCAAGGCATGCAGGGAGAGGAAATGACTTTCCCAGGGCCACACCCCTTAAACACTCAAGCAGAGGCACCAAAACCAAAATTGGGGAGGTTTTGATGCCTAATTTTCTTATTTTTTTAAGCATTAGAGTTCTATCGTGGGAAAAACAAGCTCTCTGGGGTTCTTCGCCACTATGGTGGAGTTCTGTGTTTTCTGCATTTAGGACTTCTGAAGGTGTCCCTCCCCTCCTGTGCCCGGTTAGCCCTTCCATTCTGAAAGCACTCCTGTGTCTACTCCTTGCCCCCAGAGTAGAAGTGGCGCAGGTTAAGGATGTGAGAGGAGGTAGGACAAGCCTGGGGCTTGAAGACGGATTCAGCTCTGAGGTCGGCCCTGGCTTACTGGGCCTGGTTTCCCCATCTGTGAAAAGCAGCTGTTGGACCAGCCAGCTTGTGGAAAACTTGGCAACTCTGAGATTCTATGAAAGCCTTTGCTTCTCCTTGAGCTTCCAAGCCCCCTCCCTGCCCAGGGTGTCACTATGCCATCTCCATTTTATTTCCTTCACAGCTCTTATCACTCTCTGAAATTATCTTGGTTTTGTTTATTTTCTGTCTAGACAGTAATCTACTGTCTCCTCCATGTGAGTATGGCTTTTGGGAGAGCAGCTATGACCTTGGCACCTAAAACAGTGCTTGGCAAAAGAGAGGCAAACACACAGAGGAGAAATGAATGAAGAGCAGAGAACACAGCCCCTTGCTTCTCTGAGCCTGGAGTCCCTGATCTCGAGCCAGGAGCTGCTCAGCTCCGCCACTCCCCTCACTCTCTCTCTCTTCCTAACGAATAAAGGACCTTCATGGCGAGGTATCCTGGGCCTCAAAGTCCAGCCTCCTCCTAGCTCCAGGCTGGCACTGCAACTTGACCAAAGCCAAGGTCTCTACTGACGCCTGGTGGCGGTGGGAACACATAACAGGCCCGGGAGGATAACCAGGTGGGAGAAGATGGATCCCAGGGGGCCCAGCTTCCCTCCCTTCTGCCAACCAGCGTTTATTCCTCAACTGTGTACAGGGGGCGGTGGGACTGCAGAGGAGAGGCAGATGTACTCTTTACCCTCCAGGAACTGGGGTGTCACCTGGAGAAGGGGGGAGGCAAGGATGATGAGATCCAGGAGAGGAGCTGAGCGGAGGTAGGTTAGAATTAAGGGCAGAACCCACCCCAGTTCTGAGCAGATACAGCAACCTGGGCCTGGGGCCTCCGCCCAAAGAATCTGTTTCCAAGCAACCTTTTTCTTTCTTCCAGGACGCCGTCCATCTTGCCCACCCACTTTAGAGACCATGTGGGGCAAAGAGAAAGGCCGGAGAAGCCGGTGTCCTGAGAAGCCACTTGAAACAAACATAAAGATGTTTCGGGAGGATTCGTTCTGCTGTGTGAGGTGTGATGTGAGCCTTCCACCTCACTGCTGCCAGTGAAGTCTGCCTTCCTAGCTGTAAAACAAACCAACCCAAACCTCGGTGGCCTGCAGAATCAGACACACACCCACGTCTCTGGATGAGCTGCTGTTGAGCGGATGCTGGCCGGGCCTGACTTGGAGGCTGGCGGGTCTACTCCCCCTGTCCCTCAGTGAAAGAATGACAGCTCCCCACCTTTCCTCACAGTGGGGAGGGGGCCTGCCTTTTCCCCATATTCTGCCGGGCAGAGCAAATTCCACACCAAACCCTGTCAGTGGAGCAGAAGCTCCCCCTCTCAGGACCTCCACATTCAGCTGCCGGCTCACAACTGTCACTCACTGGGCATTTCCAGGGCCACAGAGAATACGGGGGCCATCCGGTGACCCTGGGGGGAGAGTGGCTCATAACTGGTGATGGCTAATGCTAGGAAACACAGGCCAGCCTCCTTCCCTCAACTTGGCGCCACCCCAAGGGGCTGCCTGAGCTCCAGAGCTGCTAAGGATCAAGATGCCTCAGCTGAGAGCAACGGCAGATCACCCTCTCCCTCTGCCCAGACCAGGCTTCCTGACATCTTTACAGCTGCACCCCCAAGAGCACTCCCCAATAAACCTTCTGTACACCCCTCTCTGTCTCAGAATCTAATCGTAGGAACCCCATGGTAAGACAGGTAGGGAAGTAGCCTCCACCCAAAGTAGCCATGGCAATGAAGAGAATGGAAGGTCGACTGTGGGACACAATCTACTCTAACAGAGAAAGTAGATAATGGAGGCAGCTTGGATTATTGGGCTGCAACTAAATGCAAGGCACCGGCTCAACATGTATGCAGGGCAGGAATGCAGGCCGTCTCTGGGAGGCCCCTATTTTTTTAATGCATTGATTTTTATCTTTTATTATGGGGCTTCAAATAGGCTATGTGTGCAAAGACTCTGGGACTGAAATAAAGGTTTCCAAGCACTTGGTTGCATGAGGTTTAGGCGTGGTTGCATCAGTTTCCAGTTGGGACAGACAAGCCCCCAGGCCATCCTCCACCCTGCACATTTTTAGGAGAAAAGGATCCAAGTTGGTGGATCAAACCCACACTCCAGGCATTATGAGTAGTACTGTGTCTCCTCCAAATTCATATGTTGCAGCCCTAATCTCTAATACCTCAAAAATGTGACTGCATTTGGAAATAGGATCTGAAAGAGGAAACAAAGTTAAAATGAGGGTGCTAGGGTGGGTCTTAGTCTAATATGACTGGTGGCCTTATGATGGGGCTGGGGGGCAGGGGAGAGAGAGCAAGAGAACAGCCAGGTGCATGCAATAAGACAATCACGTGCTAACACTGGAAGAAGACAGCCAGCTACAAGCCAAGAAGATCTGGAAACAAAACCAACCCTGCTAACTCTTGTTCTTGGATGTCCAACCCTCAGAACTTTGAGGAAATAAAGTCTATGGCTGAGGGCACCCAGTCTGGCATTTGTTACAGCAGCCCCAGCAAACCCATATCCCAGGGTAGCAGCTTTCTCAATCCATGGCACGCAAGAGGGAGAGAGAAGAGGAAGACGTGCCCCCCACTTTCTCAGAAAACAAGTTGTTTTAACAACTGCAACTGCCCAAAGTACCTGAATAAGAGTTCCAAATTGGGAGCCAGGCGGCATGGTTTTCTTTGATCTGCAAGTGTGCAAAAAAAAAAAAGAATCGCAATAGACTCAGAGACACCAGAGACATCCTGCTGCAATCTCATTCAGGTGAGTTGAATCCCTGCAGCAGTGCAGTCCCAGGATGCTTGGTTCAGTGTCTCAGCCTTGACTTCAAAGGCTTCTAAAGCTTCTCTTTGCCCTCTTGTCCCATCTAGTCTTAACCTAAGTTAAGTCTCACCTGCCAGAGGCTGAGAAGCCTGTGGGCCAACCAGGGTGCTGAGGCCCAAGCCCGAAACAGCCAAGTGAGTGAACCCCAGCCAAGGTGCCAGACACTCACAAACACATTCACAAGTCCAGGGGAGAGCAGAACTGCTCAGCTGAGTTCAGTCCAAATCACTGACCCACAGAGTCAAAGGAAATAAAACAGTTGTGGCTTTAAGCTATTAAGTTGTAGGGTGAGTTCTTACATAGCAATAGATAAATGATGCCAAGCTAAAACCGTTTCTGCTCTCAAGGCCAAATGTACTGACAGTTCGGGAACTCCCAGAGCCACCTGCAAGCCCTCCTTGCTGAGCCAGACAAACTCAGAAGATAGAGCGGCATGTGCACTGGTTAATTGTGCATCTGTCCCTCCAGGGGCTAGATGACCCCAGGGCCGTAACTGGGTCTCCTGCATCTGTTCAGCCTACGTATTGTGCTGAGCCAGGTCTGACAAACAGCAGGTGTTGCACAGACATTCACTCCATTAGTGAAATGCCCTGGGACTTCTCCAGGGAACCAGCATCCCCTGCTCCCATTACTGCAGCAGTCTCCTAGCTTGCCTCCCCACACCCAGGCTGTGCCCTCAAATCCATCTTGCATGCTGGGGAGAAAACTTTATAAACTGCAAATCCATCCTGGTTTGATCTCTGCTCACAATCTCTAATTGGTTCCCAGAGCCCTCCCAGTTAAAATCTACCTTTTAGGAACGACTTATGACATCCTGCAAACCTCCACCCTGTGTGTCCCACCTTAAGCCACTCTCTCCCTGACTCTCCAGAGCATTTCTTTCCAATCCTTCCATGGAGCACACTCTCTGGGCTCTTACACATGTGATGCCCTCTGGCCAGAACTCACCACCACCCAGTCCCCATGCCTGGCTAAGTCCTACTCGGCCTTCAGTGCCTGTGTTAGTCTACTTTGCGTACAATGAGCCATGAAGTAGGGGACTTCACTGGAGTCTGGGCAGTGGCTGTTGATTTGGTTGGATGGTCAGAAAAGCGCAGGATCGGAGGATTGGCGATAAGAAGGATCTGGGAAGAGGTAGTTGGATGGACTTTTCAAAATGGACACAGACTGTGAAGCTATTTCTACCCCAAGTGAAATTTCAGCAAAGGGCCATCATGGCAGAGGCTCTGGATAGTCAGATGGTTAAGATTACATCAGATGGATCCCTGAATGGTCAGAGGTCGCCCCTGAATGGATCCCTGAATGGTGGAGATCAGCCCGCCTCTTTCTGCAGTCCCTCCAGTGCCTGCTCCACGCGCCCTGAACAATGTGGTCACGGTGGCGGACTAGAGACTACTGTGGGCTCAACAGTATCGACCCATCTCACCAAGACTGATGGCCAGCGCCACAGCTGTGTCTCCAAGCAACCATCGGCAGAAACACGCTAGATACACCACGTGTCGCCATTTCTCAGATTCGTCTGGAAACTCGGGGCCAGGTTGATGCCACTGGATCCTCTCCATCATGGAGGGGGCAGTGGTAGATGCTCATTCATATAACCAGGGTGTGAGGCCGCAGCAGGAGTCAAAGGGAGATCGCTAGAGTAGTTTCTCTATTACTCTCTATTACACCAAATAACTGGCTGCTGTGACAAATTACTATAAACTTGGTAACTTGGAACAACAGAAATTTATTCTCTCACAGTCTGGAGGCCAGAAGTCTAACATCAGCTCCCAGGGGCCCAAATCAAGGTGTCACGACGCTGCCCTCCTTCAGAGCTCAAGCCATTCCTTGACTCCTCCGCCTTTGGGTGGCTGCTGCCATTCTTTTGCTGTGGCCAAATTACTCCAATCTCTGCTTCTGTCTTCATATTCTGCCCACTCTCCTGTGTGTGTGAGGTCTTCCTCAGGTTCCCTCTTAAAAAGAAACTTGTAGGGCCTCCCCTCGTGGCGCAGCAGTTGAGCGCTGGGCTGTGAAACTGCCTGCAGCCTCTGCAGCGCTGGTTCAATCCTGGGCCGCTGGGGAAGGGTCCCACATGGCGCGCAGACCTCTCCTGCCGCCCGCTGTTGCCCTCAGCAGTGTGTTTCATCAGTCTGCCTGTTCTGCTCTGGCTCTGGTGAATTCTCTCACCCTCCCGCGCTTCTGACTGTACCCAGTGCTTGTATGTATAAATAAATGAATGAATGAATAAATGCATGAATCTTAAAAAAATACACTTTAAAAAAAAAGAAACTTGTAATTGGATCCAGAGCCCACTAGATAATCCAGGATTATGTCCACATGTCAAGATCATTAACTTAATTACATCTACAAAGATCCTTTTCCCTTATAAGGTAATAACAGATTCCAGGGATTAGGACCTGTCTTATCAGCAGTGATAATGAAGGCAAAGATAAACACCTGGGATTACATCAAACTGAAAAGCTTCTGCACAGCAAAAGGACCTGGCTTATTTTTGGGTGTACATTATTCAGCCTACTACACTTTCAAAAAAGGTTGCTTCTTGTTCCTGCGTTACTGGCCCATGCTAGTTGGGAGGGCTTAATGTTCTCAAGGGAAGGGAAGCAACGTACTTTTCATTGAGTTGGGAGTTGAAACATCTACTCGGCCATTTTGGGCTCCTTCGGCCATTTGCAACAGGCAAAGAGAGCTAATGTGCTGGCTGCCCTCTGGTCCTCATTACCAAGGGGAGATTGGGCACTGCTGCACAGTCTGGGTGAGGAGGACCATGCCTGAAGCCTGGCGGATTCTTTTTTTTTTTTAAGATTTTATTTTTATTTTTGCGTAGAATAGCTGGGGTGTAGGCCAGGGGTGTGGGCAGGGAGAGGATTCACCAGAGACAGAGTGGGGAGCAGAACAAGCAGATGTACTGAAATACACTGCTGAGGGGAGTAGCAGGCAAGACAGGAGAGGTCTGCTGCACCATATGGGTCATTGCCCTGGTGGGGGATCGAACTCAGGCCATGGTAGTGATCGCACTGAGACTTAACCCCTAGGCACCAGGGAGGTCCATCTGGATTCTTTAGGTCCCTCTTAGTATCTGCCATGTACAACAGTAAAAGTGAACAAAAAGCCACGGCACCCAAAACCACACATGACCACTGAGGATTCAGAACTTTTGGGGATGATTATTTGGGTCATTCCACCATGTAAACTACCACAACCAGCTGAGTGATGACTGAGGGCCGAGAAAGCTTAGAATGGCAGTGGAAGAAAGAAGATAGATGAGAGATAGACAGAAGATTGATAGATTATCAACTTTGGTACTATGACCAGTTACCAGAAAAAGTCTACTGCAGGGGCCTCCCTGGTGGCGCAAGGGGTTAAGACACAATCTATGAAGCTGTCCACAGCCTCTGCAGCATGAGTTCGCTCCCCAGCTGGCCAAGGAGCTACCCACATGGCACAACAGACCTCTCCTGACTCGCCCGCTGCTCCCCTCAGCAGTGTACTTCGGTCAGTCTGCCTGCTCTGCTCCCCGCTCTGTCTCTGGTGAATCCTCTCACCCTCCACACCTCTGGCCTGTACCCCAGCTCTTGTATGCATAAATAAATATTTTTTTAAAAAAGTCGACTGCGGCTATGCATATTTTATTCCTTGCGTGTGTGATGTTAGGTAATTTATTTTTCCCTCCCTCCTTCTTTTCCCCCATTATTTTACATAAAGATTGTAAGTCATTGCCAACTTAGCAGTTTCGTGTTGCAGGTGGGATTGTGACTAAATTAGCTGGGTAATTAACATCACCCAAATATGGATTCAGTGACTAGCTTCTGAAGAGGGATGCAGCTAATGGAAGATGGGACTTTGCCTTTTCTCATTTGTGGGGAGAGTTAGAGTTTCTGCATTTGTGTGCAGAACAGCTTCATCTCATTAGGTGGAAGTTACTGTTACTTTATGGAGGTTCAAATATTTGTGGATTAATATGTGTGGCTACCAATTGTCCAAAGAGGTGGACTGCCCCAGTTTTACCTGAGAAAGGTTGGCAGAGGAGACTGATTTCTTTTGTTTACTAACCTGTTAGCAACCCCCTGGTGGCAACGGCTGATCCTCAGCTTTGTTACTGCTCTCAGACAAGCTTCCTTGTCTCCCTTAAGGGGTACTAGCACCAATCAGACAGCACCCCCTCTTTAGACCTCTGAATCCCAGCACTGCGGGGCTCCCCCCATAAACTTTGTTTCCCACCACCCTCCCTTGTGTCCCCTTGTCTCTTACCCTCCCTCTTCCCTCTTAACCTCAGAGTCCTCAGGATGTTTATTCTCATGTACCAGTTTTTTAAAGTGTTTTTACCTTATCGAATTGTCTGCTATGTAAAGGTCCAGTGTTTGTTTTTTCTCATTCTGACTTACTTTGCTGCACGCAAGTCTCTCAAGTTCTTCACTTTGTGAAAACCGCTGCAGTTCATCCTTTCCTATGACTGTATGAAACTCTGGAGTGTGCACATACCACATCTTCTTGATCTAATCATCCACCAGTGACCACTCGGGCTGCTGCCACGTCCTAGCTTTTGTAGGAATGCTGCTGTGAACCCATTGGGAACTGTAGGGTAAGGTAAAAAGTATCAGGCTTTTCTGCCCTCCCGCCATCAGGATAGGTGACGGAACCCTGCGGTCCTGAACACATGCCTGATGGCGGGCACCTGGAGTAGGGTGTGGGCATAGGTAGGTGGGATTCACCTGGGCTGAGACTGGGCTTTTAAGGGCGGCGTCACGGGGACGCCAGCAGAAGCGGGAGAGCAGAGAAGCAGAGAGAACACAAGAGAAGGCCAGAGAGCTCAGAGAGAGTGAAGACTTGCTGGGGGCTTGGAGGCCTGCCAGTCTCCCGGCCCCCCAGCACCCCTGCCTGCTGTGTGCTTGGTAAATCCCAATAAAAGGCTGCAAAAGCCAGCGAGGGCTCCAGGACTCTCCTCCTCACCCCGTCTGCATAGAATCATAGAAAACCTGCTCAGTGCCCTTCCTGCCCTTACAGGAACATACGGGTTTTGTATTGATGGTTTACATGCTTTGCATATGTGCCCAAGAGTGGGACTGCCAGGTCATACATTATTTCCATTTTCAGTTTTTAAAGATAAATTCAGATTGCTTTCCATAATGGTTTCACCGGTTTACTTTCCCACCCACAATGTAATAGGGTTCTTTTTTCTCCCCCTAAAAGCTTACAGGTTCTGCTAACCCCACCCTCTTCCCTACATTCCTGTGGCCTGAGGAGTCGCTGTTTCCACAGTAATTTTCTCTGGGTTATCTTAGTGTTGTCTTCTTGTTCTTTCAGCCCACTACCCCAGTATAAACCACTCCTTATAGTAAATTCTCTCTGGTGAAAAGCCTGGTGTACCTTCTGTTTTCCTGACTGAACTCTGACTAATACAAATTACCTGGAAAGTGGTACTCACATTTCCCTGGGGTGCAAAGCCAGAGAAAAGTCAATTTGGCAGTGCCAGGGTCATCGTGAGAGACCAAGCTGCCAGAGAGAGAGGCGAGACAGAAGACAGGTTCCTGACACATTCAAGCACATAGATCCCGTTGTACCCGAAGCCAAACCTACGCCCTGGACTTTTGCGTTGTCTGGGCCAAAAACTTTCAGTTTTTGATGAAGCCCTAGTGGATTGAGTTTTATTGTTTACAGTCAAAGAGTATGAATAATCAAATCTCTCTTCCACCAGGTGCCCACCCCATAGCCACGGGACAGCCAAGACCAACCGCATCCTACTGAAAACTTTAATGAAACCAATAAGTTAATAAGTTAACAAAGTGAGGTACTTGCATATCTGAGAACCGGGTTGGTGGGGGAATCTCTATCGTTGACGGACGGGAGAGCTTCTTCCCAAGTTTCCTTTGGTCACAAGGTAATCCCATTCTCCTGCCCCTCTCCACAGCTCTGTCTCTGGGGGGTTGAGGGGTGGCTCTCTGGGGACAGTGCAGTGCAGGTGAAGTAAGCCGGGACAGGCTCCATCTAGGGCTTGATGGTCACATGCAGAGGGCATATTGGGGCAGAGGCTGGGCACCATGGGGCTGAGCAAGATCCAGTCCCAGCCCTGGCGCTGGTGCATGCAGGACCCCAGTCATGAGATGCAGGCAGTTGGCCTGAGCCCCTCATTTGCTGACACCCCACAGAGAGTCACAACTGTCCATTACCCATCACCCTCCTGCCACCTGCATTGGCTTTGTGGAAGAGGGATAAAGGGGTAGGTTTACCAAAGAAGAATGGGGCTTCAGGGTGGAGGGGGGCTTATACCACTATGGGGTCCATCAACTGAAGTTAAAAGTAGGGTATGGAAGGAGGGGAAACAGCGCATGTGAGTGCCAGATGCATAGTTGGTGCCCTATAAGTGGTAGTTGCTAGATGCATTATTCCCTCTGGGAGTCAAAGTGACGAGGAAGGGATGAGCCGAGATAGAAGCAAGTCTGATAATCACCATGGGGCGGGGCCTGGGGTCTTTCAAGTGCACTCCAGATCCCAGAGACCTAGGCCTGAGTGGGAATGCCAAGGAAGGCCCCCAGCACAGGCTCCTAGACCAATTAAGAGCAAATCTGTAGAAAGGGGAGCTGGTAAAACTCTGGTGCAGAGACCTGTGGTCACTTCAGAGCCTCTGGGATGGAGTGGAGGGCTCCTCGTAGTGGACAGTACCCTGCAAGGCCAGTCCACTGGCACCCAGTACAGAGGCCCAGGAGAGGCTGCCGGCTCTGTGCACCTGTCTCCCAGTGTGACTGCACATGTCACTGTGAATGGGAGACTTTCTTCATGTCCCCAGAAACTAAAGGGACATGTTCGTGTGACCATGGGAGCATTGTCTGTTTGGGACAAAGGTTTGGGAGGTCAGAAACTTGTGCTATTAATGGGGTCAGCAGAGCCAAAAACGGGTGTGGCCAGCCAGCAGGAAGAGGAACCCCTGCGAGGGGACACCTGCAAACGGGAAGAAAGGCCCAGGCACTGCCCTTGGGCGGAGAGGGAGAGACAGGCCCCATGCTGGGTGGGGAGAGGGTGATAAGCCAAAATAGGGGTGGGGGTCATGGCCAAGCAGCCTGAGACCAGCTACTGCTGGAGGCCCATCTCCCAGTGGGGGAGGGGCAGAGGGACCCCATGGGGGCCCCCAATGTTGCATATTTAACATAGTTTGCATATATGGTGCCCACCTGCCTTGTGGCAGGGTTCTGTGCTTTGTGGGTATCAGTGGGGGCACCTTGGGCCCACCCCCAAGTGGGGCAGGGACTTGGCGGGAGGGCTTCCCTGCTCTGTCTGAAGGGTGGGCCAGAGACCTCACCTTGCATAGCTGGAAGCTGGGTTAGGGCCCAGGGCCCCGGGGCCCCACTCCCATTCCCCGGGAGGTGCCCCTGCCGGAGGGCGGGCCATGCTGGGCCTTGATGGAACGGGCAGGGCACTGGGGGAGCCAGAGGCTTCGGGCAGCCGCTGCTGCTGCCCTCCGTGCGGCCTGGCGTCTCACGCTCCCGAGGTGCGGCGGGTCGTGGGTACCTCGCCGACCCAGGCAGCTCAATACTGCGTGTGGCCTCTCTCCCTCGAGGGAGCGAGTTCAAGTAGAAGTCTGGAGGCCTCGGAGGGCGGATCCGAGCGCCAGGCCGCGGGGCTGACCCACGCTGGCCCCTGAGAAGCCCCTCAGTCCATGTTGGTGCTGACCGAGCGGGAGATGCTGAGCGTCTGTGCAGAGACGGAGATGTCCTCGTGGTCCACGGGGCTGTGGTAGTCGGAGGTGATGTCGGGGTCGAAGAGCGGCACTTGCACGGTGCCCAGGCTGGCCGAGGTGCCGGAGCGCAGGCAGCGCGAGTAGAAGCCCAACAGCAGGTCCAGCTTGTGCTCAATGGACTGGACCTGCGGGCGGGGCGCGGCTAGAGGCGGGGCTGGGGGCGGGCTTTGACGGGCAGGTGGCAGGTGTGGGCGGGGATTGGGCGGGGCTAAAGTGGGGCAGGGCTTGGGCGGGGCAACAGGTAAGGGTTGCTTGGCTGGTGAGCCCGACGAAGCCGGGCAGCTCGGGCTTGGTCCCCAAGCCAGTTCCCGTGTGACTGGTCGGGATGGTCTAGGCGCTGGAGACCACCTGAGCGGGGCTGGATGAAGTGGGTGAGAATTATACGGGTTTATCTGAATCTGTATTAGCCCAGGGTGGGGCCTGGCAGGAGAAAGCGCATTTTTTAGGGTCCTGAGCCGGCTTCCTGGGAGGCCATGCTTCCCTGCAGGATGGCGGGCCGTGGTGGGCGAAGCTGGGGACTCGGAGGCCCTGCTAGGGGACCCTGGGGTGTGGCTCTGAGCTCCCCGTGACCTCCCAGAGTTTCTAGGTCGATGACCAGCTCCTCCACACCAGTGGCAGTCTTATCTCACACTCACCTGCTTCTCCACCTTGACCACGCGCCCCATCATACTGATTTCATCTACCGCCTCCGAGTCAGAGGGCCCCTTGTCGCCCTTCTCCCGGGTCTTCCTGTCGCCGGGCCCCCGGCCCACAATCTGGTCCACCCTTGGGGAGAAGGAACCAGACCCGTCAAAGTCCTAGCCCACACGCAACCCCTCCTTTCTGTAAGAACCCCTGCGTGCCCTGCTCATATGTGCCCCTAGCACCTGCACCTGTCAGAAGGGACTAGCTGAGGGAATGGGCTTTTTTTCCATGCCAAATGGAGGGAGACAGGGTTGGATGGAGGGACTTGGCCACTGTTTAGAGGGTTCTTCCATAGCCGATCAGAGACACCATGCACAAGCATGGCAAGTAAAACGCCTGATGAAAATGGGGGGCTGGGGGCGGGAGGAGGGAGAGACACAAGTGGGCATGTAGTTGGGTGGACAACACTGGAGCTGGTCCCATCATATTTTTCTGTTCTGTGTCACAGTAAAATTCTTGAAAGTGTTCTCTCTCCTTTGTCTGCAATTTCTCTTCTCCCCTTCGCTCTAAAACCTACTCCTGCCAGGCTTTCACTCCATTTCATCAGCGGTGAAATGCAAAATGGCCTCCAGATTGCCTAACTTGAGGATCAACTCAGTCCTCGTTGTAGTGAGACCTGTCAGCAGTGCTAAGCACATCTGAGGGCCCCGGATGTGCCTTGTTCACTTGAATTCCTGAGCAGCACCCTCTCCCGGACCTCCTACCCCACTAGGCCTCCTCAGCCTCCTTTGCTGGTTCCTACTGTACCTCTACAACTCCAAACACTGTAGGACCCAACACTGTCTCCTGGGGCCTCTTTTCTATTCCCTCCCACTTGCTTAGTGATGACTCGCTTCCAGATTTGACACCAGCTCTCTATCTCCAACCTACAGCTTTCCTCCAAGCTCCACACCCTCCGTCAGATCAGCACTCCCCTAGAGGACTGAAAGGAATCGCAATTCAACACACCCCTCCTTTCCCCTTGGAAACCTGCTCTGCTGCTGCCTTCTCCATGTCAATAAATGAAAACTTTTTACTTTCACTGAAGCCAGAAATATTGACTTCATCCTTGACTTTTGTTTTCCTCTTACAATTCATCAGAAAACCCAGTCGCTTTACCTGCAAAGTGTATATAGAATCTGACCATTTCTCCCCAATTCTGCTGTTGCCCTTCTGTCCAAGTCCCCATCATGTTGTGCCTGGACATCTAAAATATCCCCTTGCTCGTCTCCCTACTTCTGCCCTATGTCCCTTTATGTGCCATTCTCAACACAGGCCCTAGGGTAATCCTTTTTAAAATATAATCAGATAATGTCAGTCCTTTGCTCACCACCCTCCAATACTTGCATCTCATCCCCAGATGAATGCCAAAATCTTTGGAGTGGCCTGTGGGGCTTTGCACAGTCTAAGTGCCACGAACCTTCTAAGCTCCCCCACTTCTCTCACACTAGAACAGAGACACCCTGGGCTTCCTGCTGTTCCTAAATGCATAACCAGACACCTGCTCATCTCAGAGCCTTTGCACTGGCTGTTCCCTCTGGGAACTCTTTATTTAATGAACAGCCAGAGTTCCGACTCCCTCGCCTTTCATTTTTCCTCAGAAGTCACCTTCTCATCTATTTAAAATTGCAAACCCTACACCCTCACCCTTACTTTTCTCCTTAGCCTTTATCATCACCTGACATATTCTAGATCCACATGTTTATCATCTGTTCTCCTTCCACTAGAATAAAAGGCCCATGAGGGCAGGGATTGTTTTGTGCTCCTTTATGTTTCACATTCCATTATACCCCGCTGTCTGCCAGGTAGCAAATGCCCAATGATTATGTCTTGAGAGGACAAGGGAATAAATTGGCAGTGAGAAGTCAGGTAAGAAGAGGATGGGGCCGAGATGTAGGTGACAGGGATCTTGGTGTGAGAATTCTTCCTGCATGCTGGGTGGAGAGAAGAGGTGCGGGAGGATTCCAGAGGCAAAAGGCATACAGCACTAAGGACAATTTTCCTGTCCCCTTGGGAGATGGGAGGTCATGGGTTATTTTAGGCCTATTGTTTCAGGACCAGGAAAGAGGCATCCTAAAGACATCCCCCAGGCGTGTAGGTCAATAAGTTCACACAGAGGACCTGTTGTTTTTTTCAGGTTTGACAGCTGTGGGATCTGGCCACAGTCCATCCTGCAAGCCTTGCCAAGGTGAGAAACTTTAGCTCCCTGGCATCCACTAGGGGGCCCCCGGAGCTCTGTTGGGGGAACAAGAGAACTGCACAGACAGTGTGAGATGCTGGGGCCACAGCCTCCCACAGCCTCCCTGCTCCCCGCCTCCTCCAGGGTGGATGAGGGCACCGTGCTTGCAGGCTCTTGATCCGGCCCAGCATGTCCAGGTGCCCTGCCGAGTACTGCTCGATGACATCCTTCACATCATAGGGTCGCAGCGTCTCCTTGAATTTCCTTTTGGCCACCAGGAACTTCAGAATCCTGTAGAGAAATGGGTGTCAGGGGCGGGTCCTGTGTTTTTGTCTTTTTTTTAAGATTTATCTATTTATGCATACAAGAGCTGGGGTACAGGTCAGAGATGTGGGGGTGAGAGGATTCACCAGAGACAGAGTGGGGAACAGAACAGGCAGACGGCCAAAATACACTGCTGAGAGGAGCAGCGGGCGAGGCAGGAGAGGTCTGCTGCGCCATGTGGGTTGCCCCCTGGCCGGCAGGGGATTGAACTCATGCTGCAGAGGCTGCGGACAGCTTCATAGGTTGCGTCTTAACCCCTTGAGCCACCAGGGAGGCCCATGTCCTGCTTTCTGAGGCTGAGCAGGGGATTCTGTTCCAGCCCCCTTTGTTTCTTTGCTACCCCCTTGTCCAGCAACGAAGCACTTTCTGCTCGGGCCACAAAATAGCCTCTCCTGAGTCACCCACCATCACTACCTCCCAGCCTCCCACCATGCTCCTGCCCTGCCCTCCAACACACAGACGTTTGTTTGGTATTTTTTAAATGTTCCCATACTGTAGTGGCCTTTGCCTGGGAGGCAGGTTTCGCCCCTGGGTGGCACACACAGTACGGGGGAAGGCTGTTGAGGACAATTTGGAGGAAGGCATTCACTCCATGATGCTTTTAGAACTGCTGAGCTGGACCCTGGGTGCCCAGAGGCTGTCAGATACAATCCATGGTCTCAGGAGCCCTGGTCTAGGTTGGGCGACTACCAGGACACAATTAGGGGGTGACCAGGGCATTGTCGAGGAGTAGAGGAAGAGGAATGTGGTCCATGCGAAGGGAGACCTCGTCTGGGGAGGTCAGGGGACAAGTCTTGAGATCTCCGGGCCGAGAGCAGGAGGAGGGACATGAAGGAACACAGACAGGCAGGGGGTATGCGAGAGTCAGTTCAAAGAAGCCTGAACAGGACATGAAGGCCAGGAGCTGGGGGGAGGGGGGTGCCCATGAGAAGACAGGGAAAGAGGCCGGCCTTGAGGAGGAGGCTGGGAGGAGATGCCCTGGAGAGCCCTGAATCACTGGCAGAGGTTGGGCAGTGGGAAGTTGGGGGCAGGGGTTGACCATTCTACCGGCCTGTGTGGAGGATAGGGGCAGGGGATAGGCTGAGCCGGGTTGTGCAGTGGCATGGAGGTAGAACTGAGAGCTTTTGAGTGTGGGTCCAGGAGACTCCCATGGCTTGGGCCACAGGGGGATGATGGTGCCAGTGCCTGAAATGGGGGCATGGAGGAAAGAGTGGGTTTGGGGCGTGCTGGGAGTGGCAGGCCTTGGGATGGCCAACAAGAGCTGACCTGGGCTGGGAGGCAGCTCAAGCACTGTGCTCCAGACACTGGCCACTTGGTGGGAGCGTTGCTCATGGGGCAGCGCATGTGACTGCAGAAGCTGGTCACTTGGAGGGGAGAGGAAGAATGTGTAGAAGGGGGTGGGAGATGCCTCAGACTCTGGGACTGGGCTCCAGCTGACTCTGACTTTAAAAGGTAAATAAAGGAATGAGGCTTGTGGGCAGATGCATCAGATCGGGAAGAGGAGGAGAGTCTGAGAGATCTGGGACTGAAGGGGGTCTCTGGAGCTAGAGCTTCGGCTGCAGGTGGCGACTAGGCCAGGATTCCATGCCTAGGAAGACGGCGGCCAGGTGCACGGGTGGATCTCGGCTAATGGACCCTGGAGACGCTGGTTCTCCCTTAGCTGTCCAGGCAGGGAGACAGGCCCACCATCATGGGAAATACATTTTACATCAGAAACCAGTACACAGCGCACACAAAAAGCTGAAATACGTTGCAGAAACATTATCTGCCCTGACCATCATGGAGGCACTCTGGCACTTTCTATTCTTTTTTTTTTTTTAATGCCTTTTTTTAGGGCTCAGCTCATTGATTTCACCAAGTTGATTTCCAAGTGCTCTGGCCTGGGATGTGGGCACTGCTCTAGAGGGGGGTCGGGGTGGGGGCGGGCAGCCAGGCTGCGGCCAAGAGGCCGGGGAGAGATAGTTGGAGACATAGAGGCAGGAGAGCCAGACTGAGACACAGATGGAGGGAAAGCGCGCACAGGAGAGGCCAGGGAGACCCGGGCAGACGCGGCACACAGCTCGTAGTAAAGAAAGCCTGCCAGGAAGAGTGAGGGAAGCGAGTAGGAGCAGGAGGACAGTGCGGGCGTTGAGAAGAGAGCTGGTGATGGGCAGTTGTGCCCTCCACCCCACCAGCCAGCCTCTAGATGTGACGACTATGAGGTCACCCTGCTGGGAGCCAGAGGCCCCCTCCGCAGCCACCCAAGCTCCAGGGCCCCTGCCGGTCGTCCCCACCAAGGTGCCAGGTGGGCAGCAGCTGTTTGTCCGGGAGCCAGCCTAGGTCTGGCCATGCAGGCAGGCCCCAGATGGGGAGCAGCAATGAGTTGCAGAGGGTTGGGGGGGCTCGCGCCAGGGCTCAGCCTCACCTGACGGAGCGGATGACCATCTTCACCGCAGGCATGACGTCATCCACCGTCAGCTCACACTGGTAGCTCTTCTCCTCTGCCACTTCCTCCGAGGGACCCTCTGGAAAGTTAGGGGGGCTCAAGTGGTGGCAGCAGAAGGGGAGACTCCCAAACCCTAACACCACACGTGGAAGCAGACTTAGAAGTACCAGGAGGGAGATGGAGGCCCAGAAAGGGCCCAGAAACTTCCTGGAGCACAGGGCAGGCCAGGCTGCTCCTGCCTTGGATGCCTATCCAGGGCAGAAACCCCCAGTTTGCTGCACGCCCACCTGCCCTGTGGTTAGCAGCGCACACATACTGGGGGTCAGGTACATGGAGCTGCTCTAGGACGCAAACTGCACGCAGGCCCCCCGAGCAAGCCCCAGAGGTCCCCCCATCCGACAGCGAGTCCCTGAGAAGAGGGTGTGCAGCCTCTGGATAGCATCACGTGCACCAGCTTATCCTTCAGCCAGGAGGGAAGGGAACTTAAGGAAAGAAACCCAAGCTGGCTCCCAGGCCCAGCTCTGCTACAGGGAAGGACCCCAAAAGCAAATCATTCTCCCCCAGATAAAAGAAATGGTTTCCTTGAGGCTGGTGCCCTGCAGGGCCCAGAAAGGTGATGCTCTCCTGACCCCACAGGGGCAGGAGGTAGGGGCAGGCCGGGCAGCTTCTTAGACAGCCACCATGCCCAGGGTCCCATGGGTCAGCACCTCATGGAGACAGGTTTGTGAGGTTCTGTAACTTTCCAGGAAAGGGCTTTCCAAGTTGTCAGCCGGCAGCACTTGGGGCCTACGCTGCACAGGCAGGCAGCATGGCTGGCCCCTCCCTTCCAGGTCAAGGGGGCTTCCGAGCCCACCCTCTGTTTTCCTCCTGGAGACCTTGGGCACGTCAAAACTGGGCAGTCTTCCAGGGGACTTTTCCATAAGACACTGAAGTGCAGAAAGGGGTAGTATTTGCCCACATCCCAGTGCAAGTCAGGAGCAGAGCCAGAGCTCAGAACAAGTGATCCCCAGGCAGGGTCACAGCTCATATCTGTGGGGCTGGGTGAAGAGGGCAGGGCGGGAGAGTGGGCCCGGGAGCTGGGCAGACCTGCAGAGGGTGCCAGCTCGGCCACTTACTACCTGGCAAAGCTGTCTTCACATGGGAGTCTGTAAATCAGGGATGAAACAGAAGCTACTTCCCAGGGTCACTCGGAGAAGCGAAAGAGACGTTCCATGGGGCCAGCCAGGGCTCCTCCTGCCTAGCGCCTCCCAAGGCACATTTGTGACGCAGCCAGTTTTTTGAGCACTTGCTATATTCCCCAGACTCTTCTGTTCACCTCCCATGGACAAAAGCTCACTTAGTCCTATGAACTAATACTATCACTGTGCCTGTTTTGCAGGGCAAAGCCGGCAGTCCCGCCCAGGCAGCCTGGCTGCAGAGCTGTGCTCCTCACCACTAGCAAACGCCTCCCTCCACGGCCTCCACTGACTCGCAGACACTTGGGAGCCCAGCACAGAGACCTGTGCCTGTTTTACAAGCCAGAAGACCAGTGCCCAGAGATGATCCATCAGTTGCAGGCCTGGGACTAGAACCGCCTCCTCCCCACCCCCCAGCCCAGACCCTGCTCTCGCCCTGCCACCTTTAGTGGGGCGCGGGCCCCAGACCCCCAGAGGCTCACCCTCAGCTGAGGCGCGGGGTTTTAGCCGCAGAGAGGCCCGGAAGCGGGTGCGGTCGTTGAAACTCCAGCTCTTCTGCACTTTGGTGGGACTGGTGGCCTCACCCACCTGCTCACTGCTCGGGGAGGTCGGCGTGGGCGGGGGTGCCAGGTGCTGCTTGGAAGGACCTGTCCGCCGCTGGGAGCTGCCCATGCGGATGCGGTCTTTGATGCCCATCCGGCTGCTGGCAGGGCGGTCGGGTGGGGGAGAGAGCCCAGTTAGCTGGAGCTGGAGTTGGACATGAGTGGGGACACCACTGACTTAGGACTTGGGGGTGGCTACTGGGTCTTGACTCTCCAACAAGTGGAGACTTCCTGGGGTGGAACGAGGGTGTGGTAGGGGGGCCCTGACTCCGTGAGAAGCAGACCCCTTCCCCCCATCTCCCATCCTTCATTTCCCAGACATATAAGGGGTGCACAGGAGACAGATGTCAGAGTGGACAGAGTAAGAGAAACCCAAGACAGGAACCACAGACAGACAGGAAGGTGGGGAAGCTGGGCCTGGTCCAGGAGAGTAGGTGGAGGTGGCAACCCCTTTGGGCACAGACAGGCTGCTAAGGGAGGAGCAGCTCCCTTGAGGTGGCCTCCAGTTCCTCACCATCCAGAGGAGCAGGCTATGCGGAGCTGACGGGGTTTGTGTGTGTGTGTGTATGTGTTATAGTATGGGTGCACAGGCACCAGTGTATATACCTATGTTGGCGTGTGTGTACACATGTCCATTTATTTCCCCGTTCCCACTGCTACAGCAACCTGATCCCACACTGGTCTTTAGGGTCTGGGACTTAGGACCTGGTAGGGCTATGTCAGTGGCACACTGCAAAATTCCTAAGGTGCCGACCCCACACTTGGGTGTAGATGGCACCCCAGAGCATGCGGCAAGGGCCTCTGTCCTTAGAGTCCTGTTCCTGAGCCCACATGTATGCCCAGGTCACGCTTGCTGCCTGCTGCAGTGAAGGTCTGTGGTCAGCTATTCTGTGGTGTCCCCTGCCAACTGGACTGACACCCAGCCCATGTGACCAAGGATCCCCTCCCAGAGCTACACCCCTCACTGCCTCTGAGCCCCCAGTTCCACAGCACCTGCACAGGACCGGGTACATGTGAACACGCCTGCACTCAGACTTCTGTTCCTGCACCCCAGCTCCCCACCACATCCCCCAAACCTTGGAGGAAGACAGGGAGGGGAGGCTTCAGGCTCCCCAGGACAGGCCCTGGTTAACCAATACCTGGTAGAGCAACTCTGTGTCCAAGAGGTTTGAGGACCATGTTCTCGCTGTTTCATTAGGACCTAGGCAAACATCCCCCATCCCATGCCTGAGGTGTCCCTGCTGCACCTGTTGTGGTTTACAGACATATTTGGGGATCTTCCACCCCAAATGTCTGGGGCCCTGGCTTGGGAGAGCACCAGCCAGTAGGCCTGAGGGGGAGCAAGAGTTGGGAAAGGAGACCGTGTCGCCTACTCTTGAGGACTTTCAACTCAGAGGTTGAACAGAGGACAGATTCTGGTTTCAGGGTTGGGTGAGAGCTGGAGTCTCCCATGCCAAGGGCATGGGGTACAGGGTAAAGAACCCAGATGCTAAGGTGAGGGGGACCTCAAAACCAGAGGCATCTTTGGGAAGACAGCCAGGATGTAGGGCCATCTTAGGATAGTTACCTCCATCCAGAGCGGAAAGGTCTTAAGTCAGGGATTGGGGCCCTTCAGGTATCCGAAGGGAAAGACAAGCCCCCAGCAATCCAGCATGCTGTTTGCTGGCCTGGATCCTCTCAACAAATCTCAAAGGTTCCAACCAAAGTTTGAGGTTGGCGCTCCCAAACTTTCTTTTGCAGAGTCATTCCTCGGGGCTCTCCTCATGCTGGCAGGCACCCCCACCCACCCAGTCCGTGCAACCCCTCCTCTGTCCCTCTGTCCCTGACTCCTCCAAGGGGGAGAGGTACAAGGGAGTGGAGAAGTTCTGACACTCAGCCAAGGACCTGGAACTCCAGATCTCTGTGGCCCCTCATCACTCCAAAGGCATTCTGGGGGGTCCTCCTTGTCAGGAGGTGTGTGCAAACAAGGCTGTGCTTGCACTCAGCAGGATTTATAGAGGCAGGGACCTGGGGGCTTGCACTGGAGACCTTGAAAGTGCCCTTTCCGGCTCTGAGTCTGTGATGGTTGAAGGAGCTCTCAGCTTGGTTTTTGGGGTTCTGTAGCTTTCCAGCCAGCCAGAGGCCCCAGGCTCCTCTTCAGTGTAAGAAAACACTATTTCCCAGAGGGGCTCCTGAATTCCAACTCCTTGGTCAGGGCTCAGGAAATGGCTTACAGCAAGCAGCCTTTCTGGAGCCCAAAAGCTCAAGAAAATGGGCAGACACTGGAAGAATTCCTTCACCACCCCCACCCCAACCCCCAGGGCGTCTCAGAACCTGAGAGTCCTCTTGGCTGCCTCGGCTCATCACCTCTCAGCCACTGCACTTCTCAAATGGTAGGTTCTGTTATTTGCCATCCCTCGTTTATAGATGGGAAGGAGGTGAAACGACTTGCCCAGGGTGACAGAGCTTGAATGGCGCAAAGACAGGAAGCCAGCTCTCTCTGCCTTCAGGGACTGTGTTCTTTCTCTGAGCAAGCGCTCAGGATAAGGCCTAGCACAGTGGTTCTCAGCTAGAGGTGTATCTGCTCTCTCGGTGACATTGTCAATGCCTGGAAACACCTGCGCTTGTCACACTAGGACGTGATCCTGGTGTCCAGGATAGCCTGGTATCTAAATCTACTACAATGTCCGGGATAACCCCCATCAACAAAGAGTGATCGCACCCACAATGTCAGTGGTGCCAAGGTCCAGAAACCGACCTAAGTGGTCTGTTAGTGCCTCAGGAGATGAATGGCGAGTGCTCGGCCGTGGCTGTCCTGGGGAAGGACTCTGACTGCCCTGCTGGACCGACTTCTGTGTTCACATCCACAAGACATTTCTCTGAAGGTTCAGCATCTGCCTGCCAGAGGCCAAGCTCTGGGGAAACAGAAGCAGCCTCCCCTTCAGGCGCTTCAGCCCCTTGGAAGCAGCTTATCACTGGCTTTTCACCCTGGCCTTACCCGTCCTGACCACACACCACCAAAGTCTTTGGACCCAGAGGCCCCTAGGCTTAACCCTTAATGTGTTCCTATCGCCTACGGTCCTGGTTTCCAAATTGTTTTTTTAAAGAAGGTAAGTTCTTAATTGCTTAAAATACCAAATCAAATGAGAACAACATCTGCATGGCACCTCCTGTGAGCCAGCACAGACCCAGTGGAAACAGATCCAATCATCATCCACATCTTACATTTGAGGAAACTGAGGCACAGAGGGCTTATTCCCAAGCCTTTCTAGCTAGTGAGTGGTGGTGGGTTTGGCTCCAGAGCCCACATTTCTAAGAACACCACCTCTTGGTAGAACCCCCACTCATCTCCTACCCATGGGTCCCAGATCCATGAGGTTCCAGAAGCACTTTCGAGAAACCCAGGACTCGTGAACCCCGGTTGCCAAGCAGTGCCAACAGGAAGAGGCCTATATTGGGCTTTAGCCCCAATCCTCAGTTCCTGACCCCTGTCTCAGATCTGGCCGCGGGGTTGTGCTTGTTTCCCACAGCCATGCTCCCTCCCCTCCTAGCCTTGCCAAGCTGCTTCCTTGGCCCAGAATGCCCTCCCTCAAGCCCACTCCTCTGGGGGGCTTCTCTGGGTGAAGTGCCTGACACAGGCTCCGCAGCCCTCCTGCCTCTTCCTTTTGTTGCGCTCATTGCTCATCACCTCATCACACTGAATGGCAACTGACTCCCCACTGTGTCCCCAGTGCAGGGCCAGGCACAGGCAGGTACCAAGGAACATAGTGGAGATGCAGCTAAAAGCCAGAGACCAGGAGTTGGAGAAGGAGGTGCCAATCCCAGCTCCTTCAGGCATCTGCTTGGTCCTGAGGTGGGCAGTGGAGAGCCAGGATACCAAACGCAAGGCCTGGCATAGGTCAGAGTGGGAAGGACCCTCAGAGAGCCTCTAGTTCAATCTACCCACACCACAGATGGGAAACTGAGGTCCAGAGAAGAGAAACAATGTGGCCAAGGTCGCATAGGGGCTCAGGGGCAGAGCCAGAATCATGCCCAGGCTTCTGTAAGTGTCCCTCTTGGCAGAACAGCCCAAGCCCCAGACCTGGCAGAGGCAGCTCCAGGAAGGCAAGGCGCTCTCTGGGGCCCCAAGGCAGACGGCAGGCGGCAGGCACATGCACCTTGTCCTTGGCCCATCCTGTCCCCCTCTCCAGCCCCCAAACTGGATGGGGCCAGGAGGAGCAGGGACAGGAGGAGCAGGCGAGGGGGTACCTCGGTCTCCAGCTGGCGTGGATCCGAAAGAAACTCCGTTTATTACTAAACATCTGGCTGGAAAGTTGAGAACAAGACACGAACAGAGGTTAGTGGGAAGGAGGCAGGCGGGCAGAGCATGGACCGCTGCCAGCATGGGGCCGGACACCAGTGGCTGGGGGAGAAAAAGACCCCACCCAAATCATCCTTCAGGCAGATCCCCAGGATTCAGAGTTCTCAGCTTTGCAGGAGGATCTCCTGGAGACCATGTTAAATCTGTAGCATTCTGTGCCTCTCCTGCAGAGATTCTGATTCTGTGGACTAAGGCGGAGGGTCCAGAAATCTCCAGCTTGAACCAAAGCCCCATAGGACACTGATGCCGGGATCAGTATCATTGCCTTATCACAAAACCACAGAGAGAAGCTGTTGGCCTGGACAACGCCATCCCCTTGGAAGTCGGCTCCTGTAATCCTGACATGCTTGGCCTGGATCCGTCCACAAGCTCCACAAAGTGTGTGGCCAAGCAGGATTTGTAGGTAGGGTGAGTGACCGGGGCTCCCATCTGAAGTACCCACCCCATGGCCAAGAGACCCATCTCCCAGAAGTCACAGCTCATGCCCTCCAGGGGCCCCCGGGAAGCAAGGACACTCTTCCCTCATCTACCACCAAGCCCTGGCCACGCAGACACTCCAGAGCAGACAGACACAGGCCAGGAGTTAGTGATGGCCAAGCCCTCAGCAGAACTCTGTTCTTTGGCCTCGGGGTCTCCAGAGGCCCAGACCATCTGTGGCGGTTCTACCGGTGCTACACTCTGGGCTTATCTCCATTCCCAGGACCTTCTCATCAGGAAAGGTGAAAGCAGAGCCAACTGGTCAGAGGCCAGAACTACAGAAAGCTCTGGGTGCAGGCCTGAGCAGGGTTGTGGAAAGTCACAACTGTGGAGTTTTTGTCTGTAAGCTGTGGTTGGATGGGACTAGAGCAACTACAAAGAGCCTCAGGCAGTGACAAAGGATCCACATCATGGACTTTTCTTCCAAGGGACTCCCAGCTGGCCAGGCCAGTCATGCATCCCACCCTCCAGCATCGGACTTGGAGGGGCTCTCCCACTCCACCCACTTCCTATTCAGCCCCTGGGTACAAGTGCCCTTGTTGAGAACATGGACAGAGCCCCACTCCCGGCATCCTCTGCACCAAACTCCCTCCTCCCCATGTCCCAGGCCTTATCTGTACAGAGCCCTGATTAGCCTAAACATTCGCTGATTTTCTGCCCGGGACCTAGAGGCTCAGAGTGACTTGATAATTTTCTCAAGGCCCCAGCATCAGTGGCAGGGACAAGCTCTTGCCACACCTCCTCCTTGACCATCCAGTGACTCACCTTTTCTCCCACCCCACATTTTGGGCCTGGGGCTTGAATCACACCTGAAGCTCAAGGCTCAGACGTCCACCTGGCTGATTCAGGGATGATGTGTGACGATGAGGCAAAAACAAAGTGATGGGGATGGGCAGGGGAGGGGGGATGGGGGATTGACTCTTTGACCTCAAAACTCCTTGCAGGAGCAGCCACCTTCCCACACTGAGTAAACAGGCTTCCCTTGTCCAAACGTGCCAGAATTTTCATTATTTATGAGCAGTTACGTGAGGGTAAGCATTGTTCTTTCTTTGTTCTTCTTAGAGACAGGGCAAAGGGAAAGAGACTGTTGGGAGCAGCAAAATGTACCTCAGTGAGGAAGAAAGGCATTGTGGGAGAATCCCAGAAGAACCCTCTGGGATTAGCAAAGCTGTGGACAAGAGCCGCGCAAGACAGGAGCATTAGTCACTGGTTGTGTTTACGTAGGTCCTACAGCGGGTCTTAGTCACAGAGCTCTCTCCAGCTGGCATCTGGCTCCTGAGAGGCGGGCTCAGTATCAAGCCCCTTCTAGAGGAATATGCTGGGGGAGGGGGTTCCCCGCCCTCACTCCCCAGAATGGTGCCCACGATTACCTGAGCCGTAAGCACCTGTGGCCAGCGGCCTCCTCCTCTCGCCAGCTTTCCAGGAGGGATGGGGGTGCAGGGGAGGAAGAATGAGGGGTATGGAAACAGAGAAAGAAAGAGGACAATGGTATGAATGGAGGAAGCGACAGGAAAGGATGGTGTGGACATCACCCCACTCAGACCCCTGGAGCCCCAGGTGACACGAAGGTGAGTGCAGCCTGGCCTCTCCAGAGGCTCCCAGTCTGTACCTGCCAGGCATCCAACGACTACCCAGACCTCATGTCAAGGCCTAGGAGCCCCCAGAACAGGCCAGAGAAGTAGTAGCTGGAGGTGGGTCTGAGAGGGGGGAGACAGAGAATGGAAGAGGAGGAGGAGAAGCAAGAGGAGGTGGCGGCCCCGGGGGGCCCCTACCTTTCCCCAGGGCAGAAGGAGGTGCTGCCCAGGCGGTGGCAGGTGGCAACGGGCGGGCAACGGGAGGGTGCTCCGTCGGGTACCGGTGCCCGCCGCACCTCCAGGGGCCGCAGGCCCCCATTGCGGGCCCGCTGCACGTGCTCAAACAAGAGGGCCAGCTCTCTGCAGGAGAGGGCGCCATCAGCAGTGGGCAGGGCCCGGGCACCACCCCACCCTCAGTGGGCACTGAGCTCCCGAGCTCAGGTCCTGCCTGGTCCGGCCTCCCAGAGGGGCTCAGTAATCACCCCAGGCCAGAAGAGGCAGGGGTGGGGGGCAGGGGAAACTAGCTTTCCTCCCTCCCTTTCTACCCTGGGGTCCTGAATCCTTAGAGATGCCAAATTTGGTTGTACAGAATGGGCACAAACCGAGGGCACTTTCCTGGAAATCCTCTTCCCCCCCAAATCTGACTGGATTTTAGAGGGAAACAAGTGAGAAGGGAGACTTGCTAGGGCGGCTGTCTACTCCCTGTGCCCGTAGTGATGGAGGACAGGTCCCGTCTCTGCTGTCCCATCAGGCTGAGGAAACAGATCAGCGAGTAGGGGGCCCAGACCAAGCTCTGTCCCTCTTACCAGAGGACCCAAGGCCACCCCTCCCCCTCACCTTCCCTCCCCTTCAATACATCAAGACTCCTAATACACCAGGCCTGCCCCACTCCCTGAGCCCCGGCCTTGCATCCTTACAGCTGCTTCTGGAAGGGAGGCAGCATCCCGCCTAAGCACCGCCCCTGTGTCTGAGGTGGGAGCTTGCTCTGCCAGGTGGAGAAGTGGCGGTGGAGGGGGCTGTGCGATTCCGGGAGGCCCCTTCCTAACCTCTTCTCTCTTGCTCCTCCCCTAGGGAGCCCCAGGGACTGGCAGGGGGCAGCCAAGTGTAAGGGTGAGTGGGATCACACAACAGCTGCTCTTGGAGAACTAATGAGGCCAAAAAAGCCACCGTGGAAGCACTGAGCACAGCAGCCTGGCCGGGCTGCACTTGATGCCTGCCTTCTTGCCCGCTGGACTGACTGTGCCAAGGTCCCCGGTCTTCATTCCCAACCGAGGGCCTGGCCAGCCCTGGCCACACGGATCTTGGTGATGGTATTAATAATCCCCTGTGTGAGCCACCCCCTGTGCTGTTGTACCCCAGCCCGGACCAGTGGGGTGAATCCACCCTGGGCCCCAAGGCTGCTGCCAGGCACAGTAAAAGTAAGTACATCTTCACGCACACAGGGTGGGCCCTTGCTCCCAACTGGCACACACCACACTCTCTATCCAGCAGCAACATGCCAGGCTGGTAAGGACCAGTGCTGTACCCAGCTCAGACTGAGAGGAGATGCACTGGCTGTGCCACTGCCCGAGTGGCCTCACCCATGGCTGAGCTAGAGGACTGCCAGCAGTCCAGGACTCAGGGCTCCGCCAGTGGGACAGGACTGCCCAGTGTCCAATGTCCTCCTTGGACAGAGCAGATGGGCGAGGACACTCTAGGCTCCGAGTTATGTAGGTTCTGCAGTGCCAGCCCCAGATGCTCCCTGAGAACCATCATGGCTTTCCCACCCTCCAGGGCATCGCCCCCAGCCCACCCCCAGCGGGACCTACCTGAAGGATGGGAGGATGCTGTCGTAGTAGTACCAGGTGGCCGTGAGATAGGCCCGGCTGGTGTCCGTGGAGTATAAACGCCATGCAGCCTGGTGGCATTGGGGAGGGAGGGCATCAGTGAGGCTTCTCAGCCCCCACCGGCCCTCTGCCCCTGAAAAGAGCCTGACCTGGGCCAGCCAAAGGGTACCAAGAGCCCAAAGCCAATTCTGACTCCACAGCCACTGGCAGAGCCAGCCAAAGAAACAGAGCCCTAGAGAGAAATGATTCCCCAAAGGGACGGGTGCAGATCGGTATCAAACCCAGGAGCCTTAGTGTGGAGTTGCTGAGGGGCGGGGTTTCAAATGATCCAGCTATTCCACTTCTGGACATTTATCTGAAGAACATTAAAGCAGTCATTCAAACAGATACATACACCCCTGGGTACACTATACACAATAGCCCAGATGCGGACACAGCTAATGGATGGGGAAAGATGTGGTATGGACACACGATGGAATAGTACTCAACTGTAAAAAAGGATGAAATCTTGCTGTTTGTGACAACAAAGATGGATCTTGAGGGGACTCTGCTAAGTGAGATAAGTCAGACGGAGAAAGCCCAGCACTATGTGATTTCACTCATCCGTGGAATATGAAGAAACAAAGGGACTGAACAAACTTAGACACAGAACAGACGGGTGGTTACCAGGGGGGAAGTGGGCCAGGTGCGCGGGGGTGGGTGGAAGCTGGACTTCTGTCAGTGAACATGATACAGAGTTTATGGATATCGAATTTTAATGTTGTACCCCTGCAACTTGTATGTGATAAACCAATGCTACCTCAATAAAAAATTGAGAGCCATAGGCCCCTTACTAGTATGATCAAATTAAGGCAAGCTGCAACACCTCAACTTCTTGACCTGTAAAGGAGATGGAATAGCACTTATCTACCAGGGCGTGGTGAAGATTAAATGGGCAAATATATATTAAATGCCAAGTGCACTGCCTGGCACATAGTAGGCACTTAATGCCAAGGTCCCCATGAAACATTCCTGTTATCTCCCTTATCGCTGCTGATAAATACTTATTCACTGTGATTTGATGAGGGTCTTACTCTCCCCCTAGACTGTAAGCTGTGTCTCGGTCACCGCTGTGTCCTCCTGCACATGATCGGTATCCTGTAGATGTCTGGGGGAAAAATGACTGTCACTGCTCATGGGACTGAAGATGGTAGGAAAGAGCATCACCTACCAATCCCTCAGCATCCCTGGACTGGCAGGGTTTCTTCTGCAGCAGGAGGGACGAGGGTCAGATAAGATGAAGAACTGTCCCTTTGCCTCCAGGCCAGAAAAGCCAGAGAGGGACTGTGAGTGGGATGGTTAGTGGGAGGCATGGAAGCTGCTGGGCGGTTCAAAGCAGAACTGGGCCCTAAATGCCCCCCTTCTTTGGGTGCCTCCTGTCCTTAAGGGACTGCCCACTGCTGACTTCATCAGCCGGGCACCCTCCCAGGACAGGAATATTTTTACTTCCTGCTTTCCTAGGCCCCTTGGCTTGGGTTGGGGAGCAGCTGCCAGAGCTGTCTCATTAATTATGGGCACCACAATACCAGCTGTCTCTCGGCAGGGGCAGTGCCAGCCGCCTGCCCCTACAATGCCCCTCGGAAGGCCAGCTCCCTGGAGACACAGCCATTGTGCCCCAGGGGACACTGAGAAGGAAAGGCTGGGCTGGTGGCTGGAGATAGCAGGGAAGGGGAGGGGAGGTCCATCCTGGGGTGGAGAGATAAAGGGATTGAGTCTGATTTGGGGGGGTCAGAGAATGGCATGTTGGGGTGCAGGCCGAGGTGGGCTCTGCCAGTATTCCCTGAACTATGTCCCACAGGGGTTTCTCTGGCACACACCCCTGACTAGAGAGAGGTCAAAGCTGAATCAGAGTCACAAAAATCAGAGTTGTTGCCTCAGCACAGTGGGGACACTGAGACCACACCCTCCCTGCGTTTCCCACCCAGCAGGCTGCTCCCTCTCCATCTCCTCAGGCAAACTGACTGCCCGCCTAGCTGCTGAGTGCTGAGGTTCCTAAAAGCCCACTTCTGGACCACCTTCTCTCCTCCCTCTTTCCTCTCCCCCAGGCAAACTCATCCACACTCAGGGCTTCACTGGCACCTTCACACAACCCCTCTGACTCTTACCCGCCCAGAACATTCCTGCTGGCTCGCTGCAGACCTGCACTTCCTTTTGCCTCCTCAACATTGAGGCCCCTCAGACTCGTGCTCCAGCCAAACTCACATTCTTCATGCCCCAAATCTGGTGAGCTGGGTCACCAACCACCCAGCCGGGCAAGCCAGAAACCTGGAAGTCACCCTCCCTCACCCTCCTTTGCTCCTAATGTCATGACAGTCACGTGTTACTTAACAAGGGGGATTCGTCTCATGAATGGGTGACCTCATAGAGTGTGATGACACAAACCTCGATGCACACCTAGGCTGTCCACGGGGCCCTCCATTACACATATCACTGACTGCAAAGTCGTTATGTGGCACATGATGGTAAACTAGCCCCTAAATATGCAGAATCTGCTCTTTCTTTCCATCTCATCTACCCTCATCCAAGCCACCCAGCACCCTGTGTCACCCACACTTGCCAGAACCTCTCCTCTGGTCTTTCCCATATACTCAGGTTACGCTCCAATTCATTCACCACTTTTCAAAACACAAATCTGATCATGTCACCCATTCCTCTTGCTTTACCTCCTGTCGGTGGCTCATCAGTGCTTTTAGGAAAAAGTTAAATTCCTCCCTGTGGCCCCCAGTCTGGGTCTCACCCACTTATTCAACTCCTTCCACTGCACACTCCTCCCTTTCTGTTCCAGCCTCACAAGCCTCCTACCAATTCATCAAACACACTGTTCTCTTCCAACACAGGGCCTTTGCACATGCTGTGCCCTCTACCTTCACCTCTGTATCCATCCTGTAGCCCTCAACTCAAGAGTCACTTCCCCAGGGTAGTCATCCCTGAGTTCCCCATCAAGGACAAATCATTCCATGTCTCCTATTAGATGGTTTTCAGAAAATAATATCTTTCAAGGTATTTATCCCTTTGTCACTCATTTGGGTGAGTGCTTGTGGACTGACTTAATCAACTAGCGTGTTGGGACTGGAGCAGGCTTTCTGATGGCTGCACAGCTGATGGGTGGCAGGACTGGGTCTCCATCCAGGGCCTCCAGTCCAGGCTCTACCCAACTTGAGGCATGCAGAGCTGGAATTGGTTAGCCCTAAAATGAACATGTGGAGCGGGGGGTGGGGAGGAAGTTTTGACAATCTCAGCATCCCAGCTCTATTCCTGACTTGACAGTGATCCCCAAAATGGCCTATCTCCTCTCTGAGCTTCAAAGTCGAATCAGTTGTGAAGCTGGGCTGATGAGTCAGCAGACAGAATCAACACACCAGCTCAGTTCAGGGGCTTCCTGGGGCTCTCGTACCTGGATGAGGTTCGCTGCTGGCATCCTGCGCTTCTCAAAGTGCTTCTGCCGGTGCTGCTCCTGGACCTTCAGGGCAAAGCCAGAGCCAAGGATGCCCTAGGGGGGTAGATAGGGTTGGGGACCATGGCAGTGGGAACAACAAAAGGCAGCAAAGGTGTCCCCACCTCCACACATCAGAGGTACCCCCCACCACTAATCCAGGATAGGGGCTTGGCAGGCTCTGTTGCCAGGACCCATCTCCCCCAGATTGGGCAATCCTAAACTGAGGGACACTCACGGCAGGCAAGGCAAAAAAGGAGATGCCCAGTAAGGCGAAGCCGGCAGCCAGGACCCTGCCCAGCCATGTGTGTGGCGTCTTGTCACCGTAACCGATGGTTGTCAATGTAATCTGGGGACACAAATGGATTATCCATAGGGCTGGTCACTGAGACCACCCATGGGAGTTTGTTGGGGGCACAGGCCGGTGGGAGCCTGATCATGAGGGAAGGGGCCCCCTGGTTGCCCACAAGGACTTGTCCCAGGGACTGGTGAGGGCAGAGATGGATTTTTCCCTCTCCTCTGCTGGTTAGCGGGGAAGGGTACGAGTCATATGAGTTTGACATGGGGGACTAGTTGGGGACACAAGAAGGTCCACTGGGGCAGGTATCAGGACTAACAGAGTCTGGCCACAGGGGCTCCGGCCCTACCTGATGGGACAGAGACAGGCCTACTCAACTCTTTCTTAGTCAGGGGCACAATGGTCAGGCTAGGGTGGGGGTTCCCAGGGAGAAGAACAGCCCTGCACAGACCCTCACGCACCGTCCCCCACCAGAGCGAGTCAGCGTAGGAGGAGAAGTCTGAATTGGCGTCCTTCTCGGCCAGATAGACCAGGAAGGAGGCGAAGATGAGCACCAGGAAACCAATGTACCAGGCGGTGATCAGCTCCTGCAGGGGCAGCAAAAGGGGAGATCACAGGCAGGACCTAGGCAAAGGGGCCTGAGGAACGCGGTGCCCTCCTGGGAAAGGTGGGGAGGTGGGAGGCTCCCAGAATAACCTATCTGTTTTCTGGACGGGGAGTAAAAGGACCCCACCTCTCCAAGTTCCCAGCCGAGGTGCTGCACGCCTTTCTTTCTCCTGTCTCCATCAAGAAGACCCCGCCCCGCCTTCCTGAAATGGCCCAAATCTCAGGGTCTGCCCCTCAGATCTGCTCTTGACCCTCTGCATTCCACGCTCAGGCCTTCACCCATTATCCTGATCCCAAAGCCCAAATTTCAGACTTAGAACCAGCCCACAGCAAGCCACGCTACAACAGCACCCTCAGATCTGCCCCAGCTCTCCACTTGGCTGTGCCCAGAGTCTCCCGCAACCAGAAGTCTCCAAGTAGACCCTCAAGTCCTACCCTTCAGGCCCTGCATCCCAGCCTGGGTCCAGACACCACCCCTTCCCCCCAGGCCCTGCCTAGGTCCCTCAGCCCTCACCCATCAAAGCCCCTAATCTCCGTCCCAGGAGGCCCCAATCCTAGGCTCCGCCCCTCTTCTGGCCTCCAAGCTCCCGCCCGACCTAGCCCCAGACACGCCCAGACGAGCCCCCGCGGCCCTCACCGGGCAGTAGCCCCGCCCCTGGCACGCCCCCGGGGCCCTCACCTGGCAGTAGCCCCGCCCCAGACGCGCCCCCGCGGCCCTCACCTGGCAGTAGCCCCGCCCCGGCACGCCCCCGCGGCCCTCACCTTGCTGTGCGCATAGACCACCGAACCCAGGAGCTTCCAGGTGCCGCCGCGGCGGTCCATGCGCACCATGCGCAGGATCTGCAGGAAGCGCATGCTGCGCAACGCAGAGGTGGCAAAGATGTTGCCCTGCGTTCCCGCGGCGATGACCGCCACCGAGGCCACGAACACGATGAAGTCTGCGGGGTTGCGGGGGGAGGAGGCTGGGAGGTCACAGGCAGCTCCGGGGAGAAACCCACGCTCCCTCCCCAACTAGGGCCTGCGGTCAGGGGCTCCTGGGCCCTTGAAGGAGATCGAGAGGGTCCCTTGAGTCTGTCGGCAGCCAGGGTCCGGGTCAGGGTTGGGGTCGAGGTGTCAGTTCTGGGGCTTGGGGTCAGGGCTCAGGCGCGGGCTTGGAGGGCCTTATTACCGATGACACAGAAGGGTTTTCTGGCGAACCGGAAGCGGCCCTGCCATCCTCGGTATCGGCAGCAGCAGCCCGCGGACCAGACCCGGATGATGTATTCCAGACCGAACACCACGATCATCACGAATTCCTGCGGGGACGGAGGTCTGGAGTTCTAGTCCCCAATCTCCAGGTCACCCGGCCCAGAGTCCCTGGGTTAGGGGTACTGGGGTTTCTTCAGATCAGGTTCTTATACCTGAGGAGGATTTCAGCAGGCAGGCGGCCCGCGCCTTGTCTTCCAAAGAAACAGAAAGTCCAAACCCATCCCTTCCTGAGCCTGTCCAGGCCCAGAAGCTGACTGGGGTTTTCTGCCCCACGCCCCTCTCCTTCCCAGCCATTCCAGACTCTCTAACCCAGACTGGGTGACATAGGCTTGGCTGTCAGCTGTCCCCCTCCCTGCTGCTTTTGTTAGGGAGGAAAAACCACAAACAAGGGGTGGGGGAGCAGTCTTTGTCCTGGGAATAAGTGGGACGGTTACTCACCACTTTCCTGGGTCTATTATAAGCCCCAACATAGAGGCAGAAATGCTCCCAACAGCTGCTATAAAGCAGGGAGTAAAGCCTAGACTGGACTGCCACCCGTTCAGGCAGCACAGCACATTCTCTGAGCCACAAGAAAATTCTCTCCACCTTCACCCTGACCCCAGAGATACTACCTCACCCAGCCTCCCTCAGACCCAGACCCCATACTCACTAAGATGAGGAGACACTCATTGGCAAGTTCCTGGTGTTCCTGGATAGTGGACAGCACAGACAGCACCAGGCAGCTGAAGACCAGCAAAAATCTGCAATTGCAGCATAAAGGAGAGAGTTAGACTGCTGGATGGACAGGATAGTTGAAGAATCTCTGGCATGGAGCTGCAAATCAGGCCTGAAGAGGGATGCATTTAGGGAGATTTATCTGGAAAGCAGAATCAGAATTCCCTGGGGTTGCAGCTCTGTGCTGGACAGCAAAGGAAGAAGCCCCCTAAGCCCTGGGCCGCTAAGCTCAGACACCTCACAATCCACCCTTTGAAATGGCCTTAATGCAGGCTGCAGCTCAGAGAGGAGCTCGCTCAGTGCTGAGTGCAGGTCTTTCTGGGCTGGGTTAGGGTCCCACAGCCAGGAAATGCCTCCAGGCTCAGCCACTCACAAGTGGTGACCTCAACCCCAGTTTTAATGTTGTCTTGAAAGAAATGCCCCGGAGGTCATCAGGGATAGGGGTCAGGGAGGAACACCGCTTCCGTATGAAGTCCAAGGTGGTAGGAGTATGGTCTCATCTACAGAATGGGTCCTCCCCCTGGTTTCATGGGCCTTCTGGAATTAAATGATGAGGCGGTTATGGAAGGAGCGGGGCCAGGGAGGACAGGTGGGGAGGGAGGAAGCAGAGTGGGAGAGGGTGTGGAGAGGAAACTGAGGCACTGAGAAGCCTTGCCATGGAGACCGGGAACTCCCCTGAGGGCACCAAGAACCTACTGCGTGGCCCAGAACCAGATGTTTAGAAAGGGAAGGAACTTTGGAACCCAACAGATCCAACCCTTCCCTCAACCTCTATTACACACTTGAGGAAACTGAGACCCACAGAGGGAAAGGGGTTCACCCAGAGTCACCCAGTATGTCCAGGACAGAGGTGGTGAGCTTAGAACCAGGGTTCCCAACTTGCCAGTGGGTGGGGAGAGGGAAGAGGGCATGGAGAGCTGCTGGTACCACGGGGAGGAAGTGACTGCACGAGGGCAGGGCGGGCACTGGGGCACCAGCAGCAGATGAAGCTGCCAGGAAGGAGGCTGGATTCCCAGAGCGCTCTTCCCGGGGATGGGGTGTGCTCAACATGCACATGCCCAGAAGGGACTCCCCAAGGAACGGGCTTCTCTAGAAATGCAACCCTTGTAGACTGACCCACAGCACTCCCCAAGTGTTCCCTGGGTCTGCCCACTAGGACTGCTGACACTGGATTCTGCCTAACACATCTCAAGAGCTGAGCCCACTGAGACTCCATATCCTGCTCCACTGCCACCCCAAGCACTAGATGCCCTGGGGAGCCCCACCCCACTGTTCCCACTCAGAGGCCCCTACCAATGCTGGTGTCCCTGTAGGAGGCCCAAGTCACTTTACCCAAGTCACTTGATTTGTGTTCATGTTTCACTGTGGCAGAGGCCTGGGCTCGGGGTCAGAGAGACGTGAGTTCAAGTCTCCATCCCATTTGCGTGAGGCCCCGGGAAAGTCACCTACCTTCTCTGAGCTAGTCTCCTTGTCTGTAAAATGGGGGGTAATGGGAGGAAAGGTATCTCAAGAGCATGGCTCCCCCTGGCCTGCTCATATCTCCTAGGGCAGGGGCCCAGCCTGCCTTGGGGGGCGAGTATAGGGCCGGGTCCCAGCACATGCCCCTGGGTGGAGGAAACAGGTGGCAAAGGCTGGTAGGAAAGGGGTGGGGCAGGATTAAAAGTGGTTTTTCCCTGTTTGTATTGCTAAGCAAATGAATTTAAATTTTATATTCGATTGGCACTCTCCATGTTTTTTCCTAAAAAATTAGGAAATGCAGATAAACAAATGCCAAATCTCTTCATTTTCCCGAGATAAGCCGTGCTGACTTCGTATGTATATAGAAGTATGTGTACATAAAGGCTGGTAAAGGATTTTAAATGAATGGGTGAGGAGGAGGCCTCCCTGGCCAGTTCCAGTTCTAAGAGCTAAGTCAGCATAAAGACGTCAGGCATGGTACGGAGGGGGTGGGGGTACCAGCTACAAGTGTTAGTAACTAGCCACATCCACCAGAGCTAGGGACTGACGTGGACACAGGGCATGGTGCCCAAAAGGGGTATCCCTAAGGTCACCTCACCGCCCCCTCCTCTGGGAAGGGGGGCAGCCAAATCTTGATGGGCCTTGACTCCAGTCCTGGACAGAAACCTGTCAGCCCCACCACCCGGCTGACCTCGGGACCCCAGCAGAAGCAGGCGTGCCAGAAGGGCCCTACTGGGTGTTTTCAAGAATCTTTTTCCCTCAACACTTTTCTTCCATGTCAATAGTTATGCATCTATAAAACATCCACTTCAGAACAGGCTAAGTGAAAAAAGCAGATTATGAAACCATAAGGGCAGTGTGATCCCAGTTTTTAAAATATACATGTTTCTATATAGATACTAAGTCAGCACGGCTTATCTTGGGAAAATGAAGAGATTCAGCTGTTGTTTATCTGCATTTCCTAATTTTTTAGGAAAAAACATGGGTAGTGCCAATCGAATATAAAATTTAAATTCATTTGCTTAGCAATACAAACAGGGAACAACCACTTTTAATCCTGCCCCACCCCTTTCCTACCTAGCCCTTGCCACTCGGCAGGTGTGAGGGTGTGGCAGCCTCACCCCAAGTCCAGCTCAGCTTGCACCTACCTACTCAATATCTCTTGTTGGCTGTCCTCAAACTCCCAATATGTCCTCAAATTTTGCTCTTCTCCAATCTCTCCATCTCAGTAATGGCACCACCTTCCACCCAGAGTTACCCCAATTCTGTCTTTCCCTCACTCTCCACTTCGTCCTTTAGCCACTTCCTTTGGCTCTACCCCTGGCCAGACCCCACTGGCCTTCCTAAATAAGCTGCCACCATGTCACCCTGACCAGTCTCCAGGCCTCCCTCCGCCCCTTCTCAGACCCACTCTCTGCAAAGCAGCCAGGGATGGCCTACCATGTAGAGCCACAAAGCACTGCTCTCCTTTAAACTCGCCACTGACTTCCCATAGAGTAAGTCAAACTCCTGGGCATGTCCTGACAGATGCTGCAAGATCTGGCCTCCAGCCCCATGTCTTGAACCGGATCTCCCCTCCTGCCCCTCAATCACAGGCACACTGCGCTCCAGCCATTCTGACCTCCTTGCCATTCCTGGAACACACCAAACATTTCCACCTCCAGGCTTTGCACTTGCTTTGCTGCTTCCTCTGACTATATATTGCTCTCTTACTCATCCAGGTCTCTGTTCAAACATCATTTCCTGGGAGAGGCCTTCTCCACCCCCTCTCCAAAATAGTGGCTCCATCCCCACTCTCTTCGCTTACTCTGCTTCACTTTTTCATAGCATCGTTGAAAGACTGAGTAAATGAATCACAGAAACTCACATCAAACAAACATCAAAACATCATACCACACAGTTTCACAGTGGCGGGGGCATGGATTTGTACATCAGTTTATGCCCACTGAGGATACTCCCAAAGCTCTAAGCACACCCATCCCTGGCCCCCGGGCTGGCCCAGCATCCTTCCTGGGAAGGGGCGAGAAGGTAGGTCTCCAACCTTGACCAAACTTCCCTTGGTAGACTGTTTTAAGAGCCCCTGAACTTCACCGCCCCCTGCCTTTATTCACTGGCTGGGAGTTTCTCCCCCCCACCCCCGCCCCGGATGCTCAATATAGTTGAACAGCTGCACTTAATATGACAGAGCACACCTCGTGTTCCAGGCACCTGAATAATTACCCCAAACTTCCAGAAGACAGGGAGAGACAGACTCGCTCAGGATCACACAGTGAGCTAATGGCATAGCTGAGGCTAGAAACCCAGTGCGATTACCAACCCACCCACCCCCCCAACTGCTCCCGGGGGTCCTTACACAGACACCTACTCTTGGGACGGCAGAAGGAGGCGAGAAAGAGCCCCAAGCTGGGGTCTGCTTGTGTCCGCCAGAACGAGCGTGTGACTTCCTTCATACAACAAGAACTGCGTAAGGGTTGTCTCTGGCCCCCTCTCAGGCCTCAGTTTCTTCATCTGTTCAAGTATAGACGGTTCACAGGGGCTGACTGGGCGACCCCTCTTTTATAGCCGCCCCAGCAGAAAGGCCAGACTGGTAGCTACTTTGCTCATCATGTCTGGCTGCAATTTCAGGCCCATGTTCTCCCTGCCCAGCCCAGGGGGCAGAGCTGGGATGGGCGGGGTCTGCTGGCTGGCTCTTTAGGCTGGGGCTCAGAGTGAGACTTGTCACCACCACCCTCCCCTGCTGTGACTATCCCCTTCATTCAGGAGGGCAGCCTAGGCGACTAGGTGAATGGTCTATTTGTAGTTCAATCATTCTCAAACGACAGCAGGTCTCAAAATCACCTGGTGGGCTTGGTAAAATACTGATTTCTGGGCCCCTCTCCTCTCCTATCTGATTCAGTAAGTATGAGGTGGGATCAGAGAATTTGTATTTCTACAAAGTTCCGGGTGATACCAACATCCGTGGTTCCAGGGGCACACTTTGCAAGTCACTGACTTAGCTAAAGGGAGTAGTTGTGGCTGACTCAAATATTAGCCAACTGGGGGCTTTTTAAACAACTGTAATCATTGCCTTCACCCCGTCCCCCCCTTTCTCAAGTCACTGCTCAGAAGCAGCCACAGAGTGAGGAAAGCCCAGCTGGAAAGGCGGGACTCATGCCAACATCGGCTTCACCCCGGATTCGCGGGTGACCGTAGGTAATAACCACAACTGCTCCTGCTGGCCAAGGGCTTCTTATCACCGGGCGCTGTGCCAGCCCTCTGCGTGCACATTCTTACTTATCAGGACCCCAAGAGGGTCCTGAGACCCTCCAATGAGGAAATGAGGCTCAGAAAGGGCTCTGCAATGGCCGCACTGCACTGTGAATTGACTAAAAGCACTGAATTGTATACATTTATCAAGGTGAGGAGCATAGTAACTCAGAGCCTGGAGAGATGAAGCGATGATGGGGAAGAGGGGCTGGCATTGCACAGCAGAAAAGGGCTGGTGGCCTAAGTACTCTGAGGCCATTCATTCAAGAAACACAAATTGCCATCTACACGCAGCCAGGTTTACTGTAAAGGCAGAAATGAG